GAGAGACAATTTTAAAAATAGGTAAAACACATGCACAGAAACTTGTAATTTGTAAGGGATTCAATCGACGTACTTCTTCCGTGAAGATATTCAAATTTACAGACGGAGCTTGTAAAAGGTAAAACAACATGAACAAATTAACAGTTTTACATAGGTTTGTAAGCAAAGATGAAAATATAGTAAGACTAGAGTTTTCCTTTTCAGTAGATACCTATTTTGGAATATTCACCTCATTCGTGATATGGATTACGATTTTTCTTTCATCATCTTTATCATTTTCTTATATATAAACTATAGAAAAATGGTTCCTAAATCCATTTGTTAGACCTATGTTAGACCTATTTGTCTGGTTTCTATATCTTGATATAGGGGATGGGACCCACTCTTGAGCTTTCATATGGTTATCATTTCTATATATATCAAGTATATTGTATTAATGTTTTTAAGCGTTTGAATAGTATAGGACCTGTTTCGTTTCTCTAAGAATTTAAAAATTATGATTTTTTTAAACGAATTTTCATATAACAATTTTTTTTTTTTGTACAAATTTATAATTTTCAATTCTTTAAAATTATTTAATGTCGCTTTTAAAAAAAATTATAAAAATTTTTTAAAAGAGATATTTATTTTGAAACAGACAAAATAAGTCTATAAAAAAAAAAAAGTTCAACCAAACATTCCCATAATTTTAAAGCGGACTAAATATGAAACAAATAAATATATATTTTAATAAAAAAGGGCATATCGATTAACAAGTAAAGATTGTGCGGTACTTATTGGGAAAAAAAAGTTTTATGCGAGTCAAGGAAATATAATTTCAAAAGCTTGGTGGTAGAATATAATAAAAGATAAATTAAGTAGAACACTTCTAAGAATGTATTTGTAAAAGAAAATTAATTAAATAAGGAAAATGATATATTTGACTGACTTTAATATCTCAATTTTATTTGACACATGAAACACATAGACTCAGTAAAATAGTAAGTTTTTATTTGTCGGGCTAAATAGCATGACTCATAGAATAATTCAACTTTATGGAAAATGACTAGGGGAATTTATCAGTGAGTAGTAATTATTGTAAGTAATCCTTAATAGGCTTCATATATATTGTGTATTGCTAGTCGCTTTCTCCATATAAATGTGTGTGTGTGAACCTTCTAATTAACGGACATGCAGGCCAGAAACAGCAACAAATTGCATCTCCACAAACACACGACACAAGTCCAATGCTGCGGAGACGAGTTTCAGATGGCAGCAGTTTAGGGTCAAAGACTATTATATATACATATGAAGAATTAGAAAACGCAACAAATGGTTTCTCTAAAGCCAACTTTCTTGGTAAAGGCGGCTTTGGTGATGTCTACAGAGGAGTAGTCATTCCAGAAGGGAAAGAGGTTGCAATCAAGAAGCTGAAGCCTGGAAGTTGAGACTGAGATTAAGACAATTAGTAGTATTCACCACAAGCATCTATGGGACTGAGAGATTGTTGGTCTATCAGTTTGTTCCAAACAAAACATTGAAGTTCCACTTACACGGTGAGCCCTTTATGCAATTACATCACTTGTTGCTTCACCAATCTCCATGGTCAACCATGGAGTGAAGAAAAAACGTAGACAAGAATGCTTTGTTATTTATTTCTTTTTTCCCTACCTTCTTATTGGGAATATTAATTCCCTTCAACTAATTTTGACACAAGGTGGTTATGCTGAGTATTTCTTGTCAAGATTAAAATAAATAAATAAAATAAGATCATTTCTTAGGAACTATATGTATGTTGGAATATGGTTTCTAGGTGTTTGTTTCAATTTCAATCCCTACCTCCATTAATGCTATCTTATCATGGAAAAATTAATGACATATATTGCAGACAACGACGGCCCTACTTTAAGATGGGGAATGAGGATGAAAATTGCTTTAGGCTCTGCTAAGGGACTCGCATATTTGCACGAGGACTGTGAGTTTGACAAATTATTTTAGTTTTGGCTCAGAGATTCAATTGTCTTCATCAAATGTACGTACTATTTTTGCAGGTGATCCCAAAATCATACATCGTGACATCAAGTCTGAAAATATTCTTCTTGATGACAGTTTTAAGGCAAAGGTGGGATCCGCAGAAAAAAAAAACATATGTACAAAAATTTCATACAATTATTTTTTTTTTTTTTTATGAATATAGGTTATCCATCTTTAGAGTTTGGCATGTGTTTGATCTATTCTTCAGAATATATGTTTCCGGTATATATTCCCAATGAACAGATTATGAAGAGCTAGAAAATGTGAAATTATTCGTATCAATTAATGTAGTGCTCAAACTGTCTCTTCTGTTTTGCTCATAATCAATTGTATTAATACATATAATTGAACCCTGCTTTAATTACAGGTAGCAGATTTTGGTCTTGCTAGGTTCAATTCTGATGCTCACACTCACCTCTCCACCGCTGCAGCGGGCACTAAAGGGTGATCAGAACCTTTTTTTTTCTTATTTGTTCAGTGAAAGTAGCTTTAATTATTAGTATTGCCATACATACATATAGTCTTGTATATAGTAGCTTAAAATGATGATATAAAATGAGTTGTATATATACGACTTCTCTCATTCACATCCACAATTGTTGGTTGCAGTTATATAGATCCAGAGTGTATTAATAGGAAAATTACTGAAAAGTCAGATGTCTACTCCTTTGGGGTTGTGCTTCTAGAGTTGATCACCGGTCGTCGGCCTACCGGGGAAGCTCAATATATAGTTGACTGGGTGAGTTTTCTATGTTAGCAATGCAATAATAATGGCTACAATCTTTGGTCAAGCAGAAAGAATAAGAATTAACACATTTTTCTGATTAAAATTTTAGGCGAAGCCATTGCTCACAAAAGCTTTGAAAGACAAAAAATTTGATACTCTTGCCGATCCAAGGTTGCGAAAGGATTATAATTCTGTTGAGATGACTCGGATGGTTACTTGTGCTGCTGCTTGTGTAAGTCATCCGGCACAGCATCGCCCACGAATGAGCATGGTACATCTCTCCATTCAATCAGCATAGCTATTTATATAGTAACTGAAAATGAAATCTAAGAATTTGTATGCTGGAATGAACAATCCTTTTGATATATATATGTGTGTGTGCAGATTGTCCGAGCTTTAGAAGTAAATGTATCTCTAGCTGATCTAAGCGAAGGTAGTCTACCCGGATATAGCACAATCTATGAAAGTCCGGATATTGTCGAGGAGGAGGAGGAGTATTCAAAGATACTCGGGAATATCGCACCAGGAAGCCAGGAACATGGTGCTAATGGAGACACTGTGACCGACCCATCTGCCCCTGATTACTTTCAGTGAAATGAGAAATGGTCTTTTAGTAGACGGTTTGAAACTGTTCTGCATGATGTTATTGTCCTTCATATTCAGTAAGTTTTCAAGACCCTATATAGCTCAAATAAATTATGCTTTATGCAAAGAATTTGATTGAAAAATATTTGTTAAATTATAGCTCAGTTATTCTCAACTTTTACAAGTGAGATGCTGAATTAAACCTATCAACTTTGGAAATTTGTGCTGCATGTGTTGTTATTATTTATTAAGCAGTTTTTTGTACAACATTAATTATTGTGGAATTTTATTCTGTTCGACTATCCTTTATGTATTATTAATGTTCTGTTCTTTTTATAGACATTCGTCATAGTATTGTCAATTGCAGTTTCACTTTCTTTATTCTAGATAATCCTACCGTTGCTAGTGTTGTTTTATATTTCGATTGGGAGGATATTCAGATTATTAGTGTTGTCAAATTAATTTATTTTAATTGGATTTCAACATTTTGTGATTCAAATCTATCTCAAACCTTCACTTTCAGCACCAAGTTAAAGAGTCCTATTTCAATGAAAAGAAAAATATTCTAGAGGTAGTAATGTTATGTTTGGCATTCCGTTGGATTTAGGATTAAAAAAAGTTTAATTTAGTTCAAAATTTGTACTAATTCTTCTTTTAATTTCAAATCCAAAACACCAATTCGGTATTCCCAAACATAACATAATTATTTTTGTACAAGTTTTTCATATTATTTTTTAGTAATTAATTTTCATAAAGAATGAGAATCTACTGACAGGTATACATAGTTATTTTAATTCTATACATTCTTGGGGTCATTGGGTAATCCGAAGTAAGGGAACGGGCCTTTCCTAGGTGGTCAGTTTGTTAGAGGAAAGAAAGAAATAAGGGGCGAATGATAGTTATAAATTTTAACCGACACACTCCTCCCACATTTGAAATGGAGGAATATGGCGGAGGGGTAAGAAAATAGTTTCTCAACTCACCAAGTGCTCCTCTACCCCAAGGGATTGTGAGGGTTCGAGCAGGTAAGGTAAGGTAAGGACAAATGAGTGCATGAGTTTCTTGCTAATTAAAATTAAATTAAATTAAAATAAAATAATAAAAAGTTTCTCAACTCCCTCTTTTCCCTTCTCTTTCTCCCCCTTCCATTCACGTTCGCTTTTCATCCTTTCTTCTACTTTTCTACCCTACCAAACAGGCTCCTCAACTAAATTGCATAGTATTTATTGGCCTGTGACAGAAAATCCATCAATATTTCATTGGCTATTTTAGCAAGTGTTTCCACTTGTGTGGAATAAATGAGTAACTCATAATTCCTCAAATTTTTGAAGATATGGCAATTTTGATACATCATATAAAGATTAAGGCTGCCAAAAACCATGTTTGAAGATACGCGTCTGTAATTGTTTTTCATGTACAAGAGTTCCAACAACTTTCCAAATAGAAGACAGTAAAGGGCTGCAAGTCAATAATGCAAGAAGAGTTTTTAACGAAAACACTTACTGCCAATTGCTGACAATGATCGATCACTAACAATAACCCGGCAATATCTGGCAAATTCTACTTCTTTCAAGGCCTCCGGCAACACCCCTCATAAGTTGTTTCCATCTTTATTTTCCAGAGTCGTCATTCTTTGCGCTTGTGAAAGAGCTACACGGAAGATCTTAAACAAGGATGGATAAGAAACCACAGGAGTAAATTAATTTTGAGTCGGTCACAGAGAATTTAAATTCACCACTTACAATTTGATGCTGTCAAAGTTAACTCAAGAAAAACATAACAGCATCAGATACATTCATGACATTATCCATAAAACGCTGTGTGTATATATTTTCAACTCATGTAATTAGACAAACATTCTCATCAAAAAATATAATGAAAAATAAAATAGAAAACTACGAAACATTAGCCACCACAACTCCATGCAAAGAAAAAAGGATCAAGTTCTCCATCCCTATAATAAGCCAAAATTGGTATGAGGGGACGCCCAAAGAGAACCTGCAAAGAATTAAATAGCCTCAGATAAATTTCAAGTTTTTGACAACTAGCTTACTTTTTATTAACTAGTATAAATCATACCTTAAAAATTAATTCTAGGCTCGAGATTGTTTTTGCAGGTAAATGAACCATCTTGTTGAACTGTCGGACTCTAATCTTGCATAGTTCTGCCACGACACATTCAAATGGATAATGAACAAACAAAAAAAATCAGAATTATGGCATAAATATACAGAAACAAAAATATGAATGTGAACAATTACACAAAACTATGATTAACAGTAATATGAACCTGCGGAAGTTGGCTGAAGTTTGCCAAGTTGGATTGCTCATTAGCATGTAATGGGTGAAAAATAATTAAATAATTCAGAAGCAATGTTGACATGTCACACAATGATTAATTCCTATGTAATTGCCTCAAATGTCTTATCTATAAAACTATAAAATTTGTAATTGTCCCAGCATGCATGCCATTCCAAAGATGGATCAGTTGAAGCAGTCTCCTAAAATAATAAAATAAATCATTCAATCATCATAATTTATGGACTTGGCATTACAGATAAATTTTAAAAACATATAAATGATGAAATAGTTTGGCATGGACACTTCAATTACCACATGACTTTTCACGTTGCAATTTTGTCAACAATATGTGAAGCAGTCATACCAGTGGTGGGTACAATACTATCATTCATGACTGTCAAAATGCTTTGATGAACCTGTAGATGCAACATTCTAATGTTCTATAATCAAAATGTAGTGACGAAAGAGTAGCAAAATATGTAAATGTTACCTTTTCCATTTTTTGCACTTCCTTTCACCAAGTCATTTATGCCCCCCACATGCGTTAGCTGAAACGGCAATAGCTTGTGGAGAGGAACATATCTTTCATTGTGCAGCTGTGGAAGAAAAGGAGGATGACAATACAAAATTGCCAAAAAGGACGCAGCATCATGGAACCAAAGAGGTTTCTTCATATCTTCATTCAGAGACCTATAAACACAGCATTTAAACAAAAACTCAATAAGCAAAAAAATGATATAACTTGATATACCAAAGATCAATGAAATTGATAAAAGGTTACGCATAAAAATACCTTCTTCCCTTTTTGAACTATTTCGTCAACTATGGATTCTTTCTGAAGGTGGACGACTTTTTCTTTGCGCTTTTAAAAGGAGTAAGCAACCTATTGCCAACGCTTCCTATTCCATGGAGCTCATGCTACCATTCAATTGCTGGCACCGATGACTTGATTAATTTGTCTAGTCTCGCAACTGGAGTCAATTGCAAGGAGCGTCTCCTTTGCCTCCTTCAATAATTTAATTAAAACCTCACATTTATAATCAGACTCTGCTCCAAGCTCTTGAAGTTCGTGAAACAGTGGATTCAACTTATTACTGCGGTGTCTTTGTTCATTATTGCTATAATCATCGTAAGCATTTTCCATAAAAGTGTACCCACGCTTAATGTCCTTTCGCCAACGTTCAAGAATATAATGAGATGGAACCTCATTCATCTTTTCTTTCATCATCACAGAGATTGCATGTCTACACAAAATACCCTGAAATTCAAACAAGTGGCATAAGCATTGTACTTTACATTCAGTCTCATTGTAAACAACCTCATAATTCATCTCCTCTGAATATATGCCATCTTTTTGTACAACACTTTCTGTCACTTCAAATGTGGACATTGGACCTTCTCTCTTAATGACAGAGACATTGCAATAAATCAAACCCCTCATCTCATCTTGAAATAGCTTAAAGATCTCATTAGTGTAAGCATTCTGGAACTGTTTTTCAATAGAAAGAACAGTTATTGTTGGGATGGTAGAACTGAAAGAAGCAAGATCTGCCTTTCTTTCTTTCTCAACTTTACTCTTCAAGGCATTGTCATAATGTTCAACAAATTGCTTCAAGGTGGTTTTTGAATGAACATACTCATCAAAAAAAGCATTCATGCCTTCACCTCGTTGGGTAGTTGACATTCCAGCCCAAAAGGTCCATTTCACATATAATGGAACCCAACAATGACGATCAGCATATAACGACTTCAACCATTCATTATTCTCAAGGTTGTATTCAATACTCATTTCAGCCCAACTTTTTTCAAACTCATCAGGCTGAACTGATTCATACACGATATTTTCAAAGATCTTCTTAATCATTTTATACTGCGCAAGTCCCCCCAATTTCACAGGAAGCTTTTGCATGATATGCCAAAGGCACAGACGATGCCGAGAATCAGGAAACACCTTTAGGACTGCTTCTTGAATAGCCTTGCACTCATCTGTAACAATAGCTTTTGGAGCACACCCTAGCATACATGCCAACCATGACTTAAATAACCAAGTATAAGTATCGGTATCCTGATTAGATAGTAAACCACAACCAAGCAACACAGACTGCCCATGATGGTTCACCCCAACAAATGAAGCCAACGGCATGTCATACTTTTTTGTGAGGTATGTAGTATCAAAAGTGATAACATCTCCAAATGACTCGTACATGGCCCTACACCTTGAATCAGCCCAAAACACATTCCTTAAACAGCCTTCGCCATCCATATCAATCATGAAAAAGAAGTTTGAATTCCTATTTTGCATGCGATAAAAATAGTTACAAAGGGCTTCAGCATCTCCAAATCTAAGTCTCAACTGTCCTGTTAACAGCAAATTTTCGAAGCCACAAGCTTCAACAAATGAATGGAAATTTTTACTCCTCTTTATACCCACCAAGTCATTTAATTCCAATTTTCTTTTGACATGAGAATCTAATGCCTTGTTACACCTAAGTCGTACCTTTCCCGGATTCAAAGCATGATTATGATCAAGATAAACACGAGCAATAATGAACCTTCCATCATCTTTAGCAGTAACATTAATTTTGGCCTTGCAATTGGTCTTAGTTGAAGGCCTTGGGTGATAAGAGTCTTTTGCTGTTGATACTGACTTACCATGCTGAGCACATGCAAGTGAAAAGTATCTTGATTTGCCGTCATTTCCATTCTTTACACTAATTTTTGTCACACCAAAACCCAGACGCTGGGCATAGTTGTTGTAGAAATTACGAACTTCTTCCTCGGAATAAAAAACCATCCCAGCCTTAGGTTTTTCCCCTTCATCCCCAACTAATACTCCTTCTAACTCTTGCTCATTTGTTCTATCATCATTGCCAATCTCCTGACCACACGGCATTTTATTGTCCTCATTTATCATCATTTGCACATGAGAATCTTCTTCCATTCCTAATAAAATAAAAAGATGGTAAGTACTTGATCATACAAAGAAGCAACTACAAAAAAGAGAGAATAAATTATACAGCATATTTACCCAAAATTTATGTGCATGCTAGCTAGCTTTGAATTGAAAAATAACATTACCTATTTTTTTCAACAAATAAATCAAAAGAATTCAAATTGAAATCCTTTCTAACTGTGTTATACCACCCGAAATTAAAGGATTAGAAGGAATATTGATTTCAAAATTTGACATTGTCTCTCTCTAAAGAGATATGTATAGAAATCCTTCTCATGAGAAGCATGAAAGAATAATAATGTATGATAAAATAAATTAGTTAGAAAGGACTAAGGAGTCAACATCCACCGCTTATTAGTCCCATAATAAAAAGCTTGCAACATGAAGTCAAAAGCATAGACACATAATGGTAACAACTAACATGCTATGGTACTAATTTTACTATGCATCTGTCTCATTAAATAAAATCTGAAGCAAAGTGTAGTAAACAAGAGATGCATCTTTTTTTTTTCCAGCAAGCATAAGATATCATCTTATTCACATAACAAGCAACAAAGAACACATAGTACCATACAAAAGCTGTAAAAAAATTAAAAATATATCAGGTCAGTTTAAACCAATACCTCAGATTTCATTACAGTTGATTCTTCCTATGAAAATTGGAATGGTTTTTGTATTTCTCTTGTTGAGAGCAAGCTTCTCGGGAGCAAAAGAAGATGAACAGACAATGTAAGCTAGAGTCCGAGTGTGTAGAAGATTTTTGGTAATGGCAAAATGGCCCAATGTTGTTTGCCACCTGGGCAGCCAGGTGGATTCAATGAATTGTGTCAGTTAACTAGTTCAGCCTAAGTAGCATTGCCCTTGAAACATTATGTTATAGAATATTAGATAATATGAATATTAATAAGTCATGTTCTCTTGTTCTTGGATATGAGAATTTGATAAATCAACCCTTAGACACACAATGCTATAGCACAGCAACGGATGTATCCTAATTCATGTAGCATAATTTAATACTGCCACAATGTCTTAAAGCGAGTATACAGTCTGAGTCTGAACTGTAATTGAGCCTATATTGTTTTTCATTTCCTATATGGTTTTTCATTCACATGAACACTCACAGGGAATCTCTAGAATAAGCCCCAGAGTAAGCTCTTACTTGAAAAATTACTGATAAGTTAAACGCCTTCGACTCTAGAGTCATGCTTCTAAAGTTGACTGGACGCCAACCTATTGATCAAGCTCAAGTCCATATAGAATCATGGACGAAAATAAAGTCAAGATTGTTCTATCTCACAAGTAGTACAATAATCTACCAATTGAGCATTGTGAGATTTATCACTCTTGGCAATTAATTTGTCCATATATATATATATACATTCACAAGTTTAATTTGTCCATATTATGTGGCCTAAAACAATGTTTTGTGTAATTTGCAATGAGAAAACTGTCACTTCTATGTAACTAAAAAAGTTGATAGCTGAACTGGAGTTGTCTGTCATTAGTCTCTTATATCTTGGTGTTCCTAGCAGAGGGGACTCAATTTTCTGTCGAATTCAGGTGTGTAACATGGTGACCGATGATTTAATGAAAAATACAATCGTTTATAACAGATCTGAAAAGTTCAATTTGTGTGCTTGTTGCCAATAGGCCAGGCTAAGATCTCTCGTTCAAAATTATAGATTATTTCACTCACTTTCCTATACTCATGTGCATCACATTTTAGTGACACTGCATCCATTTATTGAAGCCATTACCCTACTACGCTAGTCATGTCAGTCTGGTGTGTTATAATCAGAGGCTGACTAAAAACTTAATCCTATAGCTATATAGCAAAAACTGGATGTACTTAGGCTCTAATTTGCACTTTCATGCTTGACAAACCTAGCTTTTATTATTGCACCAATCACTGCCTGTGCCAGTGGGGCTTCAACGAAAAGAGCCACATGGAATTTTAGGGTTCATGTCCTGTCTGGGATTGTCAAGTCGAGAGGGGTCTTCAAGGTCAGCTTGTTTTGGATCGACCACTGCCTAGCCACGATGGAGACTTGTGCAACATAGAACTCGTTTACGCGTGTCAATAGGCAATAAATATACGATCTGTGTGCATAAATATATGTACATGCATGTATATGTATACATATCTATTGAGACCAGATGAGGAGGAGTTTACTATATTAGTGAAACAGAGAAAATGATGCACATATATACACTAACCTACTTGGCAATCAAACACGATGTGATTGTTGCCGGAGTTGTGGTAGCCAATGTGTGGTTTTAGGTGAGGCTGCGGCTGCTTGGGTTGTCGTCGTCTTGGTACTTGCTTGGAGTGTGTAGCAGCAAGGGTTTTGTGAGTGTGAAAGAGGAGATTATGGTTGACCTAATTACGAAGTGGATGGGTTTTGAATATTTCAACTTAAAAGGGTTGAAATCATATGAGAAAGGTCGAGTAGGATTGGATTTGGCCGGACTTTATTTATGAATAAGATTAGAGGAGCACATGGTTCATTTTGATGATAGATTTAACCAAATTGATCCTGATAGTTGTCCTAAAAATTAGAAACGAATCGAACCGATCAAATTACATAAACTAAACCAATACGAGCGGACAAGAACAATTTAGATCAATTTGGCTTTACTGATAAGCTTACCTGAAAACGAAGTTATTTTATATCAACAATGTTTAGCCTAAATCAAGCCTTATTCAACTTAGACTTCCTTCCCATATTACCTACTTAAAAGTTTATTTCTATTTCTAAAATCATTTTCATTAACATAGAAGTTATGTAAAATGCAAACAAGATATATAATATAATTTTTTATAGAAAATTATAAAACAATTTTATAAATGTATATATGTTTTTATATATTTGTGTAAATTAGGTTTGAATAATATGTATGTATAACAATGGGTTTATGTGATGCAAGCCTATATCGACCAAACGTTACCAATCAATTAAATAAAAACATGCAAGTGTGTATACAAATAATCAAATATAATGGTGGAATTCAGATTGGTTCTTTTTTCTTCTTTTTTTAACTTCTACTAATATGTATGTAAAACAATGGGTCTATGTGATGCAAGCCCATATCGACAAAACGTTACCAATCAATTAAATAAAAACATGCAAGTGTGTGCACAAATAATCAAATATAATGGTGGAATTCAGATTGGTTCTTTTTTCTTCTATTTTTAACTTCTAAACCATGAACTGAACTGAACTGAACCAAACAAACCGAATGGTTCCACCATTTTTGGAACCAAAAAGGAACCAATGAGCCACAAAACACTGAATCCCGCGGTTAATTGGATTGGATCAGATTAATGGTTTGAACAATTCCTTCCGCATCCCTAATTAAAAACAAAATAAATGGTTTAAGAAGTCTTATTAATGTGCATAAACTTACTATTATAAAATGTGTATATATACAGACACTTCGGCCCTTTAGGTGTGTCCATGCTTCTTACGTGGGCTTATTATTTTATGAGAATTCATGACATCATAACTCAATTAACATGCTATGGTAGGACTTTTACCATGTAATTGTCTCTTTGACTAAAATCTGAAGCAAAATGACATTAATATGAGAAGCATCTTATTCTATATATGAACAACATAGAACACATATTTCATACAAAAGCTATAAAGATATATCAGGTCAGTTTACACGTATACCTCAGACTTGATTCCTTCCTATGAATATTGGAACAGTTTTTGTATTTCTATTGTTCAGGGAGGTTCTCGGGAACGAAAGATAATGAACAGAAAATTTTGTGAAGCTTTTTGGTGATGTCAAACGGCCCACTGTTGTTTGCCACATGCATTCAGCATATTGTATAGGTTAAGTAGTTCAGCCTTAAGAGCATTGTCCTCAAAACATTATTTTAAGAAGAATATTAGATAATATGAATATTAACAAATCATGTTCTCTTGTTCTTGGATATGAGAATTTGATAAATCCAACCTTTAGACACATAATCCTACGGCATTGCAACCTTAAATAATGTTTTGGGTAATTTGCAATGAGAGACCTATTAATTTTATATAACTAAAAATCTTGACAGCAGAAATAGAGTTTTCTGCCATTGCTCTCTTAAATCTTGGTGTTTCTAGGAGAGGTAACTCATCGGTATTTCCTGTTGAGTTCAAGTGGCATAATAATGTATGGCAAAAAGCCCTACAATTACAAAATGGCGATGTATGATGTAATGAAAGAAATGACCGTATATAACAGAGTCGAAAAGTGTAATTTTTCTGGTTGTTGCCAAGAGACCAGACTAAGATATCTTGTAGAACATTATAGATTCTTTTCATTCCCTTTTCTACACCCATTGTACATCAGATTTTAGTGACACTGCCTTCATCTATTGAAGACTAGTGTGTTTAGTGTGTTTTCAAAGGATACTGAGTAGGTTTATAATTATATAACTAAAAATTGGGTGTGCTCAAGACTCTTTCTTGCACTTCCATAGTCCTTAGGTAGTTGTACTCTTACATTTTCCTTTTCTTACCCTAGCCAAGGGATCATGCAGTTCTAGGGTTCGTGTTTTCAAAGGAGTCTGAATCTAAACCCATCCTATGGCTATATAACTAAAAATTGGGTGTACTCAAGACTCTTTCTTGCACTTCCATCGTCCTTTGGTAGTCGCACTCTTACATTTTCCTTTTCTTGCCCGAACCAAGAAATCGTGCAGTTCTAGGGTCTGTGTTTTCAAAGGAGACTAAATCTAAACCTATCCTATGGCTGTATAACTAAAAAATGGGTGTACTCGAGACTCTTTCTTGCACTTCCATCGTCCTTAGGTAGTCGTACTCTTGCATTTTCCTTTTCTTGCCCGAGCCAAGGTATTATACAGTTCTAGGGCGTGTTTTCAAAGGAGACTGAATCTAAACCTACCCTATGGCTATATAACAGAAATTTCGGTATACTCAAGACTCTTTCTTGCACTTTCATCGTCCTAAGGTAGTCGTACTCTTACATTTCCTTTTCTTGCCCGGGCCAAGGGATCATTCAGTTCTAGGGTTCGTGTTCTGTCTCGGATCGACAAATCCAGAAGGGTCTTCGAGCTCAGCTCGTGCTCGATCGAGCTCTAAGTGGACACGATGGAGATCTGAAAGAACTCGAGCTCGACTCAATTGAGCTCGTTTACGCGTCAATAGGCAATAAATTTACGATTTGTGTATACAATATGTATGTGCGTGTATACAATATGTCTACTGAGACCAGATGTGAGAGAAATTAGTGAAACACTGAGAAAGATTGAGATATTTAGACTAACCTGCTTCGAAATCAAACACGATCTGATTGTTGTCGGCGTTGTGGTCGCCGATGGGTGATTTCCGGTGGTTTCCCGTTTGCTTGGGTCGTCGCCGGCTTGTTGCTTACTTGGGGTGTGTAGCAGCTAGGGTTTGTGTGAGACGCTGCTTGTGTCGTCTTCGTCGTCGGCTTGTAAATTGCTTCGGTGTATGAAAGAGAAGATGCTACTAGGGTTGACCTAACTACAAAGTGGATGGGCCTTCTATTATAACGTAAAAAGGTTGGTTGGGTTGGGTTAGTTTTGGCTAGGGCTTTATTTATGTGATTTAACATTGGGGGTTGACATGGTTCTTTGGAGAGGATAAATACAACAAAATAATTGAACCAAACCAGTCTGACTATATAAAGTGAACCAATAGGAATTGTACAATAAATGTCTAGATCTATATTTTTTTATTCTTATATTTTTTTTGGCAAGATAAGAAGTGTTAGATGATAAAGTCGAACTTTGGCATTTCAAGGTTCACAGAGGCACTATTTCACTAGGCTATCAAAACAACTGCAATCGATGGATTTGATTTTAAGGATAAGTTTTATCTAAAAATGTGCTATAAGATTTATCTTAAGATGTATATAAAGTTCTTGTATTATTACTTACTTAAAATGCATTTCTAATTCTAAATTCATCTACAAACATAACAATAATGCAATGAATAATATGGTTTATACCAATTACCTTATTTGAGGTTTATCAATATTTCACATAAATCTCTTTATGTTTTATAATTCTACTTATATCCTCTAAGATTATGTTTTAACCCAACAGATTTTCAATACCTTAAGGGCGCCTGAATGCAACAAACCTCATGGAAGGTAGGTGGGATTATAAAAATGGATAAAATGTCAGTTACGGGCAAAATGACATCTTAAACCTCATATAATTTATGGGCAAAATGGTAAAATAATATAATATCATTACCAATTCTATTGATGTTCGTAAATTAGTTTTAAGGTTTGAAAATATGCATGTATAACTTTGTGTGTAATGTGATGCAAGTATATAGCCGGAATGACCATTCAAGATCATTACATTGGAAAAGAAAGATAATGAAAATTCATTTCATATCTCAACCTACGAAATGACTGATGGATTGTTACAAATGATATCATAGCTTGACTGAGTTGAAAGTGTGCCGACGGAAACTTTAGACTTCCAAGAGAGGTGGATTGTGATGACCATGTGGATGGGTGCGAGACACTGACAGGTTATTACACTAGACGAGTTATAGGTACACAATCCCACATCATCTGGGTAAAGGAAAGGTGAAGTGCTTATATGTGATGGTGTTATCTCCAGTTAGTACGAGACCTTTTAGGGTAAAATTCAAGAGCAAAACTGAGGAAGTCACAATAGCCTCTTGAATGAAATTTGTGATGGAATAACATAGAAGATTTCTGATCTGTGATCAGAAAAAGTTGAAATAAATCATTGTACAGGGTAAAAACCTTGTCGTCAAAGAACGTTGGTTGCACTATACAACCATCGAATGGATATGAGTACCGTGTCTGTAAATTTTGGTTTGATAGGGTTTTTTATTTGATTAAATAAAGGAGAAAATAATCTTGATGAGTAGGGTTTCTGGTTTTGATTAAATAAAGGAGAAAACAACCTTGATGATGGAACTATTGGATTTATATGAATCGTCTTTACAATCTCTTATTCTATTTGATTTCTAATTTGATTAGGCTGGGAATTGGGTTTAAAACTATTATATAAGGACATGCTTGGGATATTCTGTTTTTAACTATGTAATAAAAATGGCATATTTGGGTTTTAAAAAGTTGTACTAAAACATCATTTTGGCTTCCGTGTCTTTTTAAAAGAGCGTTTTGGAGAAGCTAAATGCTCTTACAGAGCCCAAAAGCTTTTTAAAAAATTTAACCCAACACTACTCCAAACGACTTCCAAACTCAAAAGGCCAAAAACAACGTTTGAAAAGCCAATCCAAACGGGGCTTTAAGGTATTCCTTCTTTCTCTTTTTAAGGACATTATCATTTTTCTATGATGTCTTATGTAGTCCTTCTTCACCCCCTTCTATCCAAATTTCTTCATTCCTACCAAACCAAACATAAATAGAACTATCTCAAAACAGGTAGCAAGATTCAAACTATATATATATGTATATATATTGCCAATATTTTGCAAGGATTGTGTTGTCTGAGTTGTTGGATTGCTTCTCGTGTCTAAGAGCCTGTGTTCGAGCCTTGCACCCTCCCCCCTTTCTAACCTCTAACCCCTACTATTTTTGCATTGGAAAATTTTAACAATTTTTGAATTTAAAAAAGAACCATTGACTTACAAAACACCAAATTGCACCGTTCAATTTGAATCAGATTAGATTGATGGTTTGAATGTTCCTTGTGCATCCCTAATTAAAATGAAAATAAATGGTTATGAAGTCTTACTCATAATGATTAAGACGGGCTTCTAATTTACCATTTTACATTTATATATATAGGGTAAAATGTGAAAAAAAAAAAAAAAAAACTCCAACTCTTAAGGGATGATTTTTATAATTTCTTGACGTTTTAAGAGAATTAAGTGTAAAAATAAAAGTTCTGAGTATAATTGACGAAATCATGAAATAATGAAAGTTGAAACTTTTTCTTAGAGTTTACCCATATTGTTTTGTAATTGGACCATTTCAATACAAGTAACCATAGAGCCTAAAATATTTTTTTTGTAAAATGTTTTTTTATGTAAAACCTTTTTTTGTAGAATATTTTATTTATTTATATTATTATTTGGTGTTTGGTAAAAGTTTTGAAAATATTTTTGGTATCTGGCTTCTATAAATATTTTGAATTAAAAGTAAAATTCTTATTTAAGTCATTGATTATTCAAATTTTCACCCACTATCAATGGTTCAATTATTTTTATACAAACAATAATAATTTTTTGACAAGAAATATAAAAAAATAATCAATTAATTTTTTAAAAAATGATAAGAAAACCGAAACAAATCTATCTATCAATTATGCAACAAGTGAATCTTTTTTTTTTCCTTTTTTTTTTTTTCACTTTACTTATCAATTTTTTAAGTTTTAGAAAGTAACATTACATGTTAATCCATTAATGATGACAAAAAAAAAAAAAAAAAAAAAAAAGAGAGGCAAATTGAAGAAACCAAAAATAGAAAATTGTATGATTGTTGTTAAAGAAGAAATTCGCCATCAGTATAGCACGTGTAAAATGACTCATTTCTTTCTCTCTCTAGACGCTCTCTTTCTCTCTCTAAACTCTCTCTAGACTATTTTTTGACCACTGTTTAACTATTCATGTATTTGATTAATGTTTTCAATGCCATATATTTTTGTTGAGGAGATCAAGAGTGAAATTGTTAGGCTCAAAAAACGACCTTCGGATGATTAATTGGTAAGTTATTTTAGTTAAGTTTTGAAAAATTATTTTCCCAAAAATATTTTTTAGAAAATGTTTTATGCGCAAACAAATAGAGCCTAAATGATTTTGTACATGAGGTTTTTTTTTGGCAACAATTTTGTACAAGAAGATTGGAAACACCAATATAACACATTTTTCTTAATATATTCTTAGCAGAGGTTGAATATTTTAAGTAACTATTTTTCATTAGATAATTTTATTATTTTTTATTTTTTATAAAGACATTCTACTATTATTTAATAAAATTACTATTATCAAATATGGTAACATAATATTAAAGGATATTATTATAAAATTAGTAATAGAAGTGTTCAAAAAAATAAATAAATTAAAAAATAATTTAATTCTAAAAAAATACTTATTAACAACTAACATACCTTTTTTTTGACACCTCTATTCATAAAAACATTTTTTTTTATCCCAACAACAATACAAACGCGATCTTAATGATATTAGGTGATGTTAGTTTAATTTTAAAAAATACAGCAAATGTGTACTAAATAGAATTTGGATTTATAGTTACAAAAAGAAAAAAGAAATAAAAAAAGGGAGAAATCAAATAAATAGGTACATAGAATGAAAAAAATTATTACATAAGCATTATATTTTTTACATTATGCCAATTGGCACACATAAATACGGAGTATAAATTATGAAATGAAAAAAAAAAAAAAAAAAAAAACAAACAAACAATGCTACTGTCAAGACATTTTTTTTTAATACGGAATACAAGGATAAATCATTCCTTTTCGAGCAAAGATTCCGTTTGTAGTGAATTTTGTCACCCTCGACTTCAATGGCTCCACCACTGTACACCATGTGATAATCATTCCTTGCTTTAGGTTTTGTTTCTTTCTCTACCAAAATTTGACTCACTAACTTCCCAGCCACAATCACGCCGGAATCCGGCGATGTCTTCACCGCCTCCGGAAGCTGCTTCGCCACCCATTTCGCCGCCTCCGCCGCCGTCACCGGCGGTCAACTCCACTGTTCCCCCTACCCCCGATAACACCACCACTCCGCCTTCTCCGCCCCCGCCGCCGCTGGTGGGGAATGGAATTTCGCCGCCGATTCTTCCACCGCCGGGAGGCCCGGGATCGCCTAATACTCAATTGATTGCGCTTGGAGTTGGAGTTGGGCTTGGAGGGGCAATTGTGTTGATCGCTGTGGGTATTTTTGTACTTTGGTACAAGAGGAAGAAGAGACGTCAGGCCTCTGTTACGCTCACACCTCCACAAGGGTCCAAAGGTGAGAATTTAAAGCTGTGTTTATTTGTGTAAACTGTAAACTGTAAACTGTTTATGGTTGTGAAGCTTTGAGTATTAAAAGCTATGTTTTTTTGGGTTACGTTAAGGGGTCTTTTTCTTGCTCGATGCTTCATTTATTTGCATAAACATTTGTATAGGTGGATTATTATTTCTTACAAAATTGGGTTTGACTTGGATCTCTTTATTTTGGTACTGAATTGGTCAATTGTGGTTTTGAATCTTCAGATAATTGAAAATTTTTAATTATTTTTTTATTTTTCAAATTGCTTATAATACACTAGTAATTTGCATATTAAAACGGTAAAATTTCAAACATCGCACCCCTCCACAGATCCCAGTTTGAATTAATAGTTTTTTGAGTTGTATTTTTTTGAGGAAGTGTAAGTACAGATCTATGACAGTGGTGAAGTCCTGAAAATGCGTTTTTTATGATAGAAGTTTCAAGTAGAGATTTTCTGATTATCCTTGATCAAGAGAAAAACCTGGTTTCTACGTGTGCAGATTAATTGTCTAGTTTAGCAATTTGATTTGGTTTTGGTTTCATGAATTTCTGTATACAAATTTAAATGAATCCATGAAATCATGTTTCTTCAGAAGATAATGTCAGTAAGGACGAGTACGGCTCAAAAAACTTTAAAAAGCAATTTAAAGGTCTTAATTTTTGCTATGGATGGCCTCGTAGATCCTAATGGTGAAGTGAAGGTGGTGATTGTAGAAGAGGTTAATGGCTTCAAAATCCATGGAAATAACCCCATAGCATTCATTGATGAGTTTATGACCGAATTCATAACATTGTGTTTTGAAGGGATTTAAGTGGGTGTAGAATAAGGGAATAGTTGTGTTTGCAAATTTTTGCATTTGAGGTACTCTCGATGCATGATTATTCACATTAATAGATTATCAGAGAAGTTAGTGTGGCATTGGTATATCTTCATGTTTCGGCTAGCATGTAGAGGAGGAGAGAAATCAAATTATCCAAGAGGAGAAAACTAATACGGAGTTTGGGTGAAATAATTTTTTGTTACAGACCATTGAAAAATCTCTGGAAGTTCTTCAGGGGAAGGATCTCCTTTGCAATTTTTTGGAATCATGCATGGTTAAGGAGTCACGTTCATATGGGGATGCTTATGGGAGTAAGGGTGCTATAGTGCACAAAGAGCTCAAACCTTGATTGAGATTTAGATTTTTGCATCGGTACCGTGATACCGTCGCCAAAGAGAGGGAAGTTGGTGATTGTGTAATGGGTGGACAAGGTGAGGAGACTGGCAGATGGTATGATTGAATGTTACATAGTGTGTTAGTGATAGTGGGTACATTTGCTTAGCAGGACCAAGTTGACCAGGATGACATGTTTCATCTGGTTGCAAAGATCACAATTGGATGAATACTTCCATTTGTTGACAAGTGGATAATGAACTTTTTGAGAAGTTGTAAAGGCACAGATTCTTGCATAAACACAAAACTTCTGAATGTCATATAGGTTTTCCATGAAGGAATATATGCTCAAGTACTATTTAAACTCAATAGGTATTCGTACCAATTGTTCTCAATTGAGAACAATATTTTTCAGGATGATCTTAGAAATGATTGTTTATCTGTAATTAGTTCAATCCGTGGTCTAGATGTCCCTTTTCCTCTGCAACATTGCCACTTATTGCAGTCATTGACTTTTTTGTTGCTTTCTCCAGGTGACCCTTTTGGTGGCCCACATCGGCATTGGCAACAGAATGCTCCTCCACCAACAGATAACATGGTAGGAACGCTGCCAAAACCCACTCCTCCACCAGGCATTGTATCGGAACTATCTACAGCGTCTGTTCCCACTCCCCCGCCAATATCTTCAGTGGACAACAGTTTGGGCTCTGAAAGGCCACACCCAGAACCATCCCCTGGCACTCTATATGGTTTCTCAAAGACCACATTCACATACGAAGAATTAGCACGGGCAACAAATGATTTCTCCAAAGCCAACCTTCTTGGCCAAGGTGGCTTTGGATATGTCCACAAGGGAGTCCTTCCAAATGGGAAAGAGGTTGCAGTTAAGCAGCTAAAAGTTGGAAGTGGGCAGGGAGAGCGTGAATTTCAGGCAGAAGTTGAGATTATTAGTCGTGTTCACCACAAGCACCTAGTTTCTCTGGTTGGATATTGCAGTTCTGGGATTCAGAGACTGCTGGTTTATGAGTTTGTTCCTAACAACACGTTGGAATTCCATTTGCACGGTGAGTCCTCAGCGTGATTACATAACTTGCTTCATTGCCATGGTGTCACCAACCACAATATGGTGGAAAGAAATTGATCTTATTCTATATTTGAAAATAAAAATAAGAAGAATGATCCGATTAACCAGAAAATTCTTAATATTTTTTTTGGTTTTTGTCCTTGTTTTGACTGCATATTTATGTGTGAATGTATATACACATATATATATGTTTGTATATTTAGAATCTTATTTAGGAGAGAAGGAAGACTAGGTAATTTTAAAATCTTAGTCTGGGGTAGGAAAAAAAATTCTAGTTTATCTATCAAGGATGTGATTTAGGAAGCCAATAGGGTGGTGTAGAGAATAGCAGAGTTGGGCCATTATCATCCTGATCGGGGTTGGTTGTGGGATAAAACCCGGTTAATCCCCTTATGCTGCATTTCGTGTACAGGAATGGAATGGAATGGAATGCAAGTGAAGAATGGAAATGGAATGGAATGGCCATTTTCATTTTATTGTTTGGTTGTAAATATGAAATGTGTAGGAATGAAATGATAATAAACATTCTAGTGTTTGGTTGGACCAATTTAAAATTTAGAATGGAATAAATTTCAAATTGAGTTATCCGAAATAACCCTCTTAATAACAAATAAATTAAATTAACAAAATGACATTCTTCTATAATTTTTTATAAATAAATGATGGCAGTAGCCGTGGTGGATGGTGGTGACAATGGTGGTGGAGGTGGAAGGCAATAGTGGTGTAGGTGGTGGTGTTGGAAGGCGGCGGTGGTGTTGGTAGAAGGCGGTGGTAGTACTGTGGTGGTGGTGGTGGTGGAAGGAGATAGTGGTGTAGGTGGCAGTGGTGGAAGCCAATAGAGGTGATTGCATGTGGTGGTGGTAGAAGGCAGTGGAGGTGCCGATAGCGGTGGTGGTGGTAGAAGGCAGTGGCGGTGAGGTTGGTGAAAAGTGGTGGCGGCGGTGGTAGTGGTGGTGGAAGGTGGTGACATTGGAAGGCAGTAGTGGTGGCAGTGGAGAAAGGCGGTGGGGGTTGCGTCAAAGGCAGTGTCGGTCATGAAAGATGGTGGTGGTGGAAAGTGGTGGGTGGTGGTGGTGGTGGTGGTGGAAGAAGGCGGTGGTAGTGAAAGGCAGAGGTGGTGGTGGTGAAAGGTGGAGGTGGTTGTGGTGGAAGGTAGTGGTGGTTTTTGGACTTAGAACATAAAGGTTTTTCGGGAATTTGACTTTTTAAAAAAAATTACTTGGGAATGGAATGACCATTTCATAAGTTTAGTTGTGGTATGGACTTTCATTCCCAGGAATATATTTTCACTTCAATGGAATGTTCATTCCCACTTTAAACAAAGGAATGGTTGAAATGGGCTTTTCATTCCATTCCTGCACACCAAACGCAACATTAGGTGAATGACCTTTTTGGTGCATACCGTGCATCTTTTCCTGGAGCTGCTTAATGTGCTTTACTTCATGACCTTCTTTTATTTTCATTTTTTTTTATTATTATTATTTTTTAATTTCATGAGTATTTATTACCTGTAGGTCATGAATCACTTTATATTATTTAGGGCGAATTGCAAAAAACCCCCCTCGACTTTCACCCTTTAGCAAAAAACTCCCCTTATGAATTCTTTTAGGAAAAAAAACCACTCAACTATCATGAGGGGGTATTTTAACTGCTGTTCGTTTAAGGGGTTATGTTTTGGACGAAAATACCCCTTAAACAGTTAAACGAAGCCAATCGGATCCAACTCTGCCCAAATTGCCATTCATGATTTTCCGACCAAACACCGGCGACAACTCAATCACCGCCATTCAAAGACTCGCCAACACAAGCAGCCTCCATGAAGGAAAAAAAAAACCCATGAGAAATTAATTTACAGAACATAATACTTCATCGGAGAAAAATTACACAACCACAACAAACTAAATTGAACATAATCTGAACTTGACTGTATAAATCACTCCAGTTTGTTAACATCCATCTTTTCCGGTGATGAGTTACGTAGAGATGAAGCGGACTAAACAACCGAGCATGAACCGGTGACGATGAACTGAGTCAAGACCAGATGGTGGCAATGCAAGGAGCGGTAGGACTGAACTTACCAACGGGCCACACAGCTATTCTTACCGGCAAGCATGGAGGACTTGTTATACTGGCGAGCATGGACTGTTGACTACGACGAGGCAAGAGTCGGGGCTCGGACTCTCTCGGAGTACTCGCTGGAGAACAGGTCGGTCTGAACTGGTCTTCACCAAACTTGGGGCTCGCCGGATAGAACTGGGTTGTGAGTTTGAAGCTTCGCCAGACTGATGGCTTTCTGGTCGTCAGCGTGTTTCAAGTTGATGGAGCTTCACGTCAGAATGAGAAGTGGGTCTTGAATAGGAGAACAAATCTAAACGGTGGTGAGTGGATTTTTGGCGGAGAAGTGGGCAGTCTTGCCTGCCGATGCTTGAACTCGGTTGTGACCAAGGATGAAGCGGCAGTGAGCAAGGTCCGCAAGGATGAACAGCGGGCAGCAAGAAGGAACGGTCGACAGTGATGAGGAATTGTGGATGATGCAGGTGATGATGGTGGTTGTAGAGCACGCAATTTGCAAATGCTGGCATCGTCAGATCTGGATGATGTGGATCCTTTGGACAGCTGAGGATGAGATTGGTGGTTCAGAGATGTAGAGGCTGGACAAGCCATGGCCGGAGTTCATGGGTTGATGGAGGCGTCGTTGGTGATGTCTTGTCGGTATCACCAAGACAAGTCAGAGATGCTCGAGAGTCCGACATGAGGGAGCGCGTGTAATGTTAAGGGTAATTTTGTCTGAAAATTTGCCTCAAAAAATAACTCAAACATAGGTTAGTTAAAATACCCCCCTCATGATAGTAAAGGGGTTTTTTTTTGCTAAAATAATTCATAAGGGGTTTTTTTGCTAAAAGGCGAAAGTCGAGCGGGGTTTTTTGCAATTTGCCTTATTATTTATTACTCAAACAAGTATACGGTGTATACCATTATCATCTTTACCATCATAATGATACATGCTTCATTCAGCAGCGCTGCTACACTTCTTCACGTGATTCTTACTTCAACAGAGCCATCAGACGGTCTCGTTCCCCTTTTCTTCTGTGTTTTGTTCATTAACTTACAGGAATCAGTACATCTAATAAAAAATGATTAGTTTTTTTTTTTTTTTTTTCCATTTTTTTCTTCTTGTTTTTTTAAAATATTAGAAAAGAACTTATTCTGATTTCAGCTTTTGATCTCCTAATGTTCCATCTCTCTAGGCACCATATGCAAGATGGAAGGCAATTGAAACCCTCCAAATCATATATTTTTAGGACTATTACATTATAACACCTTGTTTCAATGTCCAAAACCCTTTGTTTTCATCTCTAATTTTATAAGTACGATCTCATTGGAGAATATTAACATTGCAGAGAACGGGATACCTTCTATAAACTGGAAAACTAGGATGAAAATTGCTTTAGGCTCTGCAAAAGGATTGGCATATTTGCATGGGGATTGTGAGTTGCCAATGCTTACTATTTTCAATTATAACCATAGACATATCTTTTAATAAATATTTTAGGTTTGGCATCAGATACTCAACCATCTTGAAATGTACTATATCTACAGGTCAGCCCAAGATCATACATCGTGACATCAAGGCTTCAAATATTCTTCTGGATTACGATTTTGAGGCAAAGGTATTAACTATAGAATAGACATTAGTTTGTAAATTAAAGCTAACTTTGAAATTTAATATGAAATTTTTTCAGGGAAACTTTTGATAATTATTGCAAAAGTTGATTTCAATGATCCATGTTGTATATGGTATACTACTTTCTTTTTGTTCCTTTGGTTTATATTATTTGATTTTTTTTGGGTAGGGCAGGGACGAATTCTTGATGCAATGATAAAAGTTGGGGCTAAAAGCATGAAGATGGGTTGAGTATGGGAGTGGTCATTTTGTGAAAAGTAATACCGAAGGTGTATCTCCAGTCTTTCCAATTCTTCACCCTGCATAGGGACCAGTACTCAGTAATGGCCTTTAATTTTTTTTTTCTTTGTGGGGTTTGGTGATGGGGTGGGGGAAGTGTCAAACTTTGAATCTAATTTAGGATTTTTATAGATAACCACTTTTATTCTCCTTCTATTCATCATACCATCTGAGCTAGAGCCCATTGGTTTTGATCCCCTTCCTTACAGCTTAACGTATGTTACATGGACTCTTCTAAAGTAGTGAAGTACATGTGTCAGACACATATTGCTCGGACATGGGTATGGGATGTGTGTCCGAGACTTGGTTGGACATGTACCTAAAAAGTATATCCAATCATTCATTTTCATTGTATTATTACTTTAAAATGAGTTAAAAGCCTATATTGAACACTATATTATATAAAAACAATACTTTATTGTAGAAAATAAAATGATATTTAGTAGTGTACATGTGTCCTTCGGTTTAGAGATTTGACATGTCCGACGCATGGATACATACCCGTACCCCCCCGACATGCATATTCGAGTCCGTGTAACATAGAACTTAACCACTGGGTTTTGGGAAATTTAATGGACATGCTTTAGAACTTTGCTTGTTCATCTTTCTCAAATCGTTTCTTTTTATTGGACATGCTTTAGATCTCATTTTAGACGTGATGCAAAGATGTACAAACTGTCCTTATTTATTTATTTATTTTTACTTCTGTTATTTAATATGTATGCTTGAATCATTCATTCAGGTGGCTGATTTTGGTCTTGCTAGGTTCAATTCTGATACTGATACTCACGTCTCCACCCGCGTAATGGGAACTTTTGGGTAAGACATTTTTTTGGTTAGTTAAGTACTCACACACATATCATAAATTACCCACTACAGTGCTCGAACCCCTCACCTTCCCCTTGAGGGAGGAGAGGTTATACCATTGGGCCAATAGCCTATTGTCCCCCCACCCCAACTGAATGACATATGGTTTTGGAGTAGCTGATATCTTAAAAGGAGCATTTGATCTGATGTAATTCTTTCTATTTATCATTTTATATAGAGAAAATCAAGTTGATATTATATATCTTTTCATTCACATGCATACTCGCCACTTGCAGTTATTTAGCACCAGAGTATGCGCTTACTGGGAAACTGACTGATAAGTCGGACGTCTTCTCCTTTGGGGTCATGCTTCTAGAGTTAATCACTGGACGCCGGCCTATTGATAAAGCTGAATTCTACATGGATGATAATATAGTTGACTGGGTGAGTTTTACATTTTATCGCTGATACACTATTCTTTTAACAATTAAAGGTATTTTAAAATGTTGGAAGTAGTCCATCTAATGTGCCCTTAGCAATGTTTGAGTAATTTGAAATGTGAGGATTATTGTAACTAAGAATGTTGATAGCTGAAGTGGAGCTTTGTGCCATTGGTCTTCTGTATCCAAGGGCGTATCTAGGTGTTAGGATTGAGCCCACCACACACAAAAAAAAAAAAAATACTATAGGGAATTTTAGCCCAGCAAAAAAATATATATATTATTACTAGTATTAGCCCATCACCAAAAAAAAAACAAAAAAAATTACCAGCAAAAAAAATATATATATTATTACTAGTATTAGCCCACCCAAATTTTTTTTAGCCCACCCCATTAACAATTCCTGAATCCGCCCTTGTCTGTATCTTGGCGCTCTGAGCTGAGAGCAGTGAATATTTCACTTGCAGAGTTCAGGCGGTGTATTAATATATTAATATATCTTTGTATGGGCAAAAGCCGCAAGGAACGACATGGTAACTGATGATATAACAAAATACAGTACCACAATAGCGCTGAAATACAAAAATGTAATTTGGGCAGCCGATGCCAAAGGTGGGCTCATATCTTGATGGGCATAGATTTTTCTATTCATTTCCTTGTATATACTCTATGCACATCAGATTTTAGAGACACTCCCTCTATTTCTTAAAGCCATTACCCTATGTTGGTTAAGTCATTCTGCTGTGTGTTAAAAGGGGGCATTGACTATAAACTTATCCCTGGTTATATTTCCAAGAAGTGGCTGCCCTTAGACTCGAAACTGCACTCCCATGGTTGACTGCCCGAGTTCTGACAACCAAGCACTTGTCCTATATGAACTCCATGTATCAAAAGACAACTTAATGGAAGTGCAGAAACGATATCACGTAGGCCTTTTGTATGTAAGCGTGTGCATGCATGTTTAATATAGTCTCTCTCTCTCTCTCCAACAATTGGAGATTCTTGTTTAAAAAACTCTAGTAGCATGCAAAGATGACGCATATTATGATAAATTTTTAGGCAAGGCCTTTGCTGACAGAAGCTTTGGAAAGCAGCAACTTCAATACTCTTGTTGATCCAAGATTGCAGAAGGATTATGACTCTATTGAGATGGTTCGAATGGTTGCTTGTGCTGCTGTTTGTGTACGTCATTTGGCACGACTTAGGCCACGAATGAGCCAGGTATATCCGCTAGTTCCATTTGCTAACCATGTCTCTCCATTGAATCAAATAAATCCTGATTTGGAGTTTAATAGCTCACACATTTTTAAGGTGTGAACTGTAGGGCTCTCATATCAGTATCATTTACTTTAGGTTTGTTTGACTGTCTGAATACTACAATTCCATGCAAGTGATTCACTAATATGAGGGTGTAAGACGTTCTCTAGGTCTGAAGCCTCGGCCTGTTGGTGCGACTCCAGTAGTCTGTTCTTAGTCCAAATCCTTTTTTATTTTATATTTTACATCTCTGCCATCAAACCTCAAACTCCAGCCCTCATTACCTGAATTTTCATTTAGGCTCCGTTTGTTTGGACGTAAAATATTTTTCAGAAAATATTTTTTTTATTTTCTGGTGTTTGGTTGTCGTAAAATATTTACTAAGAAAAAAAATATTAAAATTGAACAAAAATAACTTATCCATCAATTTTCTGCAAGTTATTTTACATGCTCCGCCCGATGGACTCGACCTCAACCTCGACGTAAACCTTTGCCAAACACCGACAAAGTAAAAATAAAAGAATATTTTACCTGGAAAAAATAAAAAAAAAATTTCAAAAAGAATATTTTATGTCAAAACAAACGGAGCCTCAAGTTCAGTGACTTGTGACGTCTCCTGAAGTCCTACATCAGCGCCCTTATTTTTCTGTTAGTGTTTGACAAAAATTTCCACATCCTTTTTGTGTTCAAATGCTACAGGTTTTGATGAATTTGAAAGATGAAAGTTTGAATCTCACAAAGCTATTAGATTCTAAAAATTAAATCTGATATTATGCATGCCCGTACCCGTGCTTTTGATGCAGGTAGTCCGAGCTTTGGAAGGAAACATGTCTCTTGATGAACTAAATGAAGGTATTCGACCTGGGCACAGCACCGTCTACGGTTACCACGGGAGCTCGGATTATGATTCTGCCCAGTACAAAGAGGATTTGAAGAAGTTCAGGCAGATGGCATTAGAAAGCCAACAGCTCAATGCTAGTGAAGTAAGTGGCCCAACCAGTGAGTTTGGTCTGCAACCATCTGGCTCAAGCAGTGAAGGTCAACAAACGACTCAAGATATGGGCTCAAGCAGTGAAGGTCAACCAACTACTGGACTTGGAAATGGGAAAAATAAAGAAAAACTGGGTGAAACTTCTTGAAAACCAAATACATTTATGAGTAAAGAAAATTAGATAGAAATTCCTTGTGCCCTTTTTAGGTGATTGTGATGCTGAGTTTATAAATTATTTTCATTTTTTACTATTCATTTCCTTAATTCAAAGAATCATTGAGACATTAGAGTTTGACTCACCCCGACCAAATTAGATTATGAAAATGAAATTTAAAGAATTGCATGCATGGAAACATGTCTCTAGATGATGTACCGTTGATACATATGTGTTCGAATTTAACATTTATGCTGTCTAAATTTATTTCAATGGTGAGAAGTGGATAATGGTTTTATAATGAGACATTTTAGAAGTCTGTTGAGTGACACTCTGAAAGATCTCATTTTGTAAAATAGAAGTCAGTTTTATACCAAAAAGTAGAAACTAATGCAAAAGTTTCATAGGTGGCCTTGCTCCTGGTGAGTCTTGAGCACCACCACAGAGCAACCATACACATTCTCTCTCTGTCCCCCTCTTCAATCCCACAATCTACCATCATTTCTGCAAACTCACCCTTCTCATACTTATCCCAATCTTGTTTGGGAAACCAATTAAGGCTACCGACCGTGGCATTCGGCCTCCTCTTTCCATATGTCAAACAACAACGTACAATAACCGAAAACATCACATTTCAGTATAAACTCTGCTGCAACGTAACCAGGAGTCCCCTTATATCCTGTCATAGTTACGTGGGTGTTCTCCCTACTACAAAGCTTTGCTAGACCGAAATCTGCAACCTTAGGAAAGAAGTTTGCATCGAGGAGGATATTACCGGGCTTGATGTCGTAGTGAACGATTCTTTGCTTGCTTAGCGAAAAAGAAGAAGATAGAGAGAGAAAAGAAAAAGAAAAGTGGACATTTTTTACGAGTTGCATGAGTGACTATCTGAGTAGCATATCACCAGATTTTTTATCAGTTGTAATGTATTAATGAAAATGTAATGTAACGTTGTTATACTAATAAATCATGCCTATGTCTATCAATAAGGAAGTACTGTATATGTAAACCAACCATAGAGCTAGGATATATTATATATATAACTGCTACCATGATTGAGCTTATTGAAAGAAAGCAAGAATATATAACCTTGTTGAAGGACAAGTACAGGCACAAAGTGGTGTTGGGATTCATTTTGATTCCCAAGTTCAGGACCATTTATTTTCCTCTTACCAAATTCAAATACAATGTATATAGAAAAACAGAGGGAATAAAATAAAATAAGAAAATAGCAGATTAATGAAATAGCACACTCTCACACATACATACCAAGTAAAAATCAGGTGAGTTAAAACGGTATAAATGGTATTCAATGAAACAGATCTTTGCCCAAACTCTTTTTTTTTTTTTAAAGCAACAACATTGTTAATTCAGAGAAAAAAAGAGAGTAGATCACAACAAGGAGGTGAGATCAAACTCTTTTAAGAAAAGTATTTATCTTTTGAAACTCTATATATTAGTAGTAAGAAAAATATGTAGTGAAATATATAAGAACAGTAACAAAAGAGGAAATACTGAATTATTTCATCCTCATTTGGTAATAAAACAACCACAAAATAAAGAAATCGACTTTTGGTGTAACTTTCAAACCAATGATGTCAAGTTCCACTTTTTAAGCAAAATAAAAATATTGTCAATTCATACCATTTTTCATTCCCGAAATGACCAATTTATCCTTTGACTCGCCCTACCAAAATTAAAAAGAAAAGGACTTCTTCTGCCATCTGTGATACCGGAGACGAATTGACAGCCCCTCTTACCTTAGCGGCCATGTCTACTTTTTCTCTCTAACAAACCGTCACCCTCCCATCTTTCCTTCCTCTCTCTACTTTTTCTCTCTGAAGTTCTCAGCCGAAAAAACTGTAGACTAAACACATGGGTGCAGGGCGCATGAGATTTCAAAACTTTCTAAGGCCGTAAAAAATTTATATAAGTTACAAAATTTACATTAAAATCAGACTATAAGTACATAAAATATATTAAGGTTGAAAACATACAGGGTAAAAATTCGCATTGGTACTTTATAAAAAGCATTATCCAATTTATATTAAAAATTTTAAAAATATTTAACATAACTTAATCACAAAAATTAAAATTCAACTTCATATCAAAATAAATGTGACTGTCTTACATTTTGAAATGCAAAATTATAAAGTAAAATACTCTAATCACTGTCATAATTTTGTTGTTTGAATTAGGGTTGAGTTAAAAATTTGACAATTGATGCAGACTATATTATGCATGTGAGCCCAAAACTAATATAATAATAAAATAAATAAATCAGTTTCTTGTTTAAATATAAAAATCATTTTTTTCTATTGAAGGAAAGGGATATAAACAAATTATTTTTATCATACAAATTATTCTGTTACATATATAAATTAATATTATAATGACGTGCTTATTGTCATAATTTTTTTTGAAAATTATTCATTATCATAAATTTACATGATATATGATTGGTTATTGCCGTTTATTTATGAAAATTTATATAAGTGCCAGACGTGCCTTCAGTGTCCACGTTCTGGAAATGTGCGGTGAAAATTGAAAAGAAAGTTGGTGAATACATTACATAAAAGTAGTGAAGTCTGAATTAGAACAGTAAACAACTCAAAATGTGCATGGTGAAATTTTAAAAGGAAGTTTGTGAATACATTTAAGTGAAAATTGTGAAAATTGGAAGCTTGAAAAAAAGACTGGGAAATAATTTGTTTTTTAAGGGTAAATTACACTGTCCCATGAGTTTGTTTTTTCATTTCTTTTATTTTTAATTTTATATTATGAACCAATATTTTCTCTTGTTTGTCAAATTATACTTACCTCTCCTGTCCCACTTGTCTTTATATTTACGTTTCTATCCTTATATATATAGTATTTTATCACAATAAACATGTGTTCTAAAATATAATTAATATTTGAAAATTATAAAATTATTACTATTAATCAAGGGAACATGTGTTACTTACATACAAATTTTAAGGGGGATAAGTGTAATTTGACAAATAAGAATTATATCAATGTACGTTGACAAAACTTTAGAAAAAATAAGTGTAATTAAAAAAGAAAAAGAAAAAAAAGAAGAGAACTTATTTTTACACTTTTGTTATTTATTTTTCAATTTTAAAAAGTGAGTGTGCATTGTAAACCACTACATTCGCAACAAAAGGAACTGCGAGGCTTTTTTTTAATTACCGGTGAGGATTTTGATCCTTAGCTCATATTTCCGAATCCCGGCTAGGGGCAAAATATGAGTGTCTCTTCATTTAATTGAATTATTTTTAAAAAGAATCTAAAAAAACTTATGTAGGCACAAAAACTTCATTATTTGACAATTTTTCGTTTCTAAACAGCCCTTTACTCTATTTGCAAAATAACAAATATCTCCCTATCCTTTGCTTTATTAGCATTTTTTTTTCCAAACAAAAAAAAAAAAGAAAACGAAAAAAGAAAAAGAAAGTGGTTTAATTGAAAATCTCACCAGAACTGGTGGGTACATACGGAATTTGGGAATCTTTGAAAACCAAAGCCCGGCTGTGCTTCGATTGATTGACAGATCGTAATAGTGGTATCCATTTTTGTTCTTCTTCTTCGTTCTTTTCACTCCCTAAAAGAACAGGAGAGAGAAAAATACTGTGTTTCCGTAAGATTTTCAGATCAAAATTCAGAGTATCCACGATTCGATTTCTTCTCCCTCTTTTGATCGTAAACCCTAATTTGTTTTTTCACCCCTCAGATTTAATCCATGGCTTCTCGAAGGCGTATGCTTCTGAAGGTCATAATCCTCGGAGACAGCGGGTAAGTCTGTCTTTTTCTCATCTCAGACTTCCGGATCTCCCCAGTTTGGTTCCTGAGTAAATTGATAAGAAAAAAGGAAAATTTCGAATCTTCTCACGTGTTGTTTAGATTACCAAAGCTGAATTGTTTTATTTTTGAGATTAGATAAGTGGATATTTAGTTTATTGGATACCCTGCATTGGGAAACGAGATTTAGCTTTAGGGGCTTTTCTTTAATTTTTTTGCCCATTGTTTTTCAGCAAATTAAAAAGTCATCTTTTTGCTTGCGTTCAAATTACTTAAAATAAATTAAAGAGAAGGGTCTCATATTTGAATGACGAACATTTTACTTAATTTTGAAGCTTTTCAATTTCTATGAGCTGTAGTTTAGTATAGTTAGACATTGGAATTTTGTATTAATTTGGATTTGTTTTTATTTTTGGCAGAGTTGGGAAGACGTCATTGATGAATCAGTATGCTCAGAACCCTAGAGCTTTGGTCAAGTGATTATATAAATTTTTGGTTGTATTATTCTGATTTGTGATTGTCATTTTAATTGTTGTGTTTAGGTATGTGAATCGAAAGTTTAGTAATCAGTACAAAGCGACAATTGGAGCTGATTTCCTAACAAAGGAAGTTCAGTTTGAAGATAGGTTGTTCACATTGCAGGTGAGAGCTCTAAACTGATGATTGGTTTCCCTAATTGGATCTCTCTGTATTTCTATACTAAATTCTGCAAGTTTGCCAATGAATACATACATCATTTAAAATAATGAATGGTGTAGAAGTCAACATTTTTACTTTCAGTTAAAGGATGAAAGAGAACAGCCGGATTTTTGTGTTTTGAATGTGAATTGCATATTGGTAAACATTGGGTAGCTCATTGTAGTGCCTGTACTTTGTGCTAGATTCTTTATCACAATACTTCAGCCTAGGGTGCTTGAAGTATTTACTTGTGTAATTTTCGAAAGTATATGACTTAATCTAGTATTTGAAGTAGCAATTTTTAATGCCATTCTAGTACTTAGTCAAAATGATTAAGGGAATGTAGAAGGGAAAAGAAAAGGAATAAAAAACCACATAGATTCCTCATCTCTTCTTTAGGACCTTTAGGTAACTGTTGCTTCCTCCATATGGACCTTACTTGTGTAATGTCTCTTGAACTCCAGCTTTTATATATTGGGGAGACTTTGACCAAAGGTTTATTTTCTTTACTGTCATGGCGTATTCAGAATTCAGTTGATTGTCAATTGCATTTTGAAGAAAGTATTTTGCCTTCACTATTAAATTTTTTTTTTTCTTAGTTGGGCACTATCAATTACAGCTGAGATACCATCATCTTCTCTCGATTTTGACAGTGATCTGAACTGGCTCATAGGAGATTTTGATGGTATTGCCCATGAAGGGGCTCAATGGGTTCACAGGTACTCGGGACAGCTGGATGGTTGTTATCTTTTGCTTTTCATGGTTATGGCAATATATTAAGATTGTGCTGTCACTGCTGTGCTGCCTCTGTCTAGTTTTGTTTGTTTTTCCTTTTTTCCATTTATTACCTCTAGCAAAGGGAAAAAGAATTAGCAAATTTTTTCCATGCCTGTGTGACAAAGTCAGTTTTGGTTAGCCGAGGAGAAATCCTAGGTGGTAGCTGATCCACCTTCCAAAGTTCAATTAGGTTCGAGACCGGCTGTTTCTATCCTTACCAAGCAACTATTCTATAAAATTGTATTGTACTCATGTATCACAAATACGTACATGTATGTATGTATATATATTTATATATATAAGAAATAGTTGCCCCTCTCTAGTTTCGTTTGGTTTTCCTTTTTCCCATTTATTACCTCCAGCAAAGGGAAAAAGAATTAGCAAAATTTTACATTGCTGTGCCACAAAGTCTGTTTATGGTAGCTGAGGATAAATTCTGGGTGGTAGCTTATCCACCTTTCAAAGTTCAATTAGTTTGGAGCCCTGCTGTTTCTATTCTTACCAAGCAACTATTCTATTAAAATTTATTGTACTCCATGTATCACAAATACGTACACACACACACACACACATATATATATATATGTTTGTGTGTATCTAAGAAGTCTGTATATAAGGTGAAAGGCGGCATGCCCATAATCTGTAAAAATTCATTTTCCAATATTTCATACTTGAAATGACAGCATATTACTAAAAGCTGACCTTAATATGGAGGTGAATGTATGGGGATGGTTTCACTTTGTCCTTTGAAGCAAACACTTTTTTTTTTTTCAGATATGGGATACGGCTGGGCAGGAAAGGTTCCAAAGCCTTGGTGTGGCTTTTTATCGTGGGGCAGACTGCTGTGTTCTTGTAAATGATGTGAATGTCATGAAATCATTTGACAATCTCAACAACTGGCGGGAAGAGTTTCTGATTCAGGTAACTATTGATTCATTTGACGATTCATATGATTCCAAGTTTCTGCCAATCTATGATTAAAATCTCTTCTTTGTGGTTTTGATGTTCAGGCCAGCCCATCTGACCCGGAAAACTTTCCATTTGTTGTATTGGGGAACAAGATAGACATTGATGGTGGCAATAGCCGTGTGGTAAGTGGTTTCTCTTCCGTTGACATCCTTTTACTCCTCATGGAAGGTGATCTGTTGGTGTTCCTTGTTGAACTTGCTGTTATTCTTGCAATTACAGGCCTTATTTTTTGATTGCAGGTTTCTGAGAAGAAAGCAAGGGCATGGTGTGCCTCTAAGGGAAACATACCTTATTTCGAGACTTCCGCAAAAGAAGGATTTAATGTGGAAGCTGCTTTTGAGTGTATAGCCAAAAATGCACTCAAGAACGAGCCTGAAGAAGAAATGTGAGGATTCTATGCACCTGAGTCATCTAATCTGTAGGATATTTTGGTATTAGTAACTTCCCACACCCGACATCACCCCACCTCACCTTCCCGCCCTGTCCAGAATTGACCTTTACTTTAAACATGCATTGAATAGCAAGTGTTCTAGCCTGAAGAATCGCCTTTGCAATAGGAGTGTTTTGCTCTACATAGGGTGTAACTTGGGTGGGCCAACCCAAACCAACCACAAGCCTAACCCACATATATATTATATATAAATATTTCACATGCCTGAGCAATCAATTTTCCAATTACTATTGGAGTGAAAACTATAAGCTAAACTTAATTTGGTTCGAATTCTAACATGATCTGTTATATATTCATAATTTTTAAGATTATCTATATATAAATATATATATATATATAATCAGTAATCGTAATCAACTTTTTTCAGTTTATTTTTCTTTACGTTATTGTATTTCAATCCTCTGAGATATTAATGTCTTGTTTATAACGTTTTATATGCTTACATTCAGTTTTAGAATCTTTTATGCATAGGAGTAACCCTACCTAAGGCTAACCTCATCCTGAATTCTATAACTCAGCTTAACCTGAGTTGTAAATTTTGAACGTGGGATAGGCTTGGAGTGGGTAGCTTGAGTGAAGGTCGGGTTTGGTTGAGCTTGGGTTAACCCCTCAACCCGCCCAAGTTGCACCCTTAGTTCTAGAGAGAGAGAGTATCTTTTTTTTTTTTTTTTCCTAGTTGGAGAGAGCTTATTTTTACCATGGCAGTCATCGTCGTTATTGATTGGTGGCAGTGCAGTTAGACATTATGACTCAGCTGCAATTTAACATCTAGAATTGTTATCTGATCCTTAGGGCACTCCACCTGTCTATCAAATTAGAAAGGAGTGCTTTCTGCAGTTTTTTAAAGGACTGCAGTTCTTTAAAGGAAAAAGCTATCGTGAAGGTGCTCTGAGCTCACGCCCTCAGCCGTTTAATCTCACGCGGCGGATTCTCTATTGAGCAAATAAGAATGGGAGAGAACTCTCGGGATAGACTTTAAACCTTTTAAATCTAGAACATTAGGCTTTACTCCACCCAACACATGTATTATTTAGTTTCCATGATCATTGTGATGGACATGAGCGCTTCAAGTCTACAAGGAATGAATGGTGTAGGCTTTAGTTGTGACCGTAATATTGGTTCTTTGTAACTTTTACATAAGAAACTACAATTTGTTTCTCTAATGTTGTACTTGGTTATTAATTATCTACTTGGTTCTTAATTGTGTCATGATAATATATCATTATGTGGGATACAGAATTATTCAAGGATTACTAATTGATTTCTTTGAATTTTCTTTTCCTAAAGATATCTTCCTGACACCATTGACGTTGCTGACGGAGGGCGGCATCAAAGATCTACAGGGTGTGAATGTTAGAAGAGTTCAGGGTTGGCTTTGCTTCTTGGAATGCAGATACAATTGTCATTCATATCTTCCCATTCGTTGTGCAGTAACTATAACAAGTGATCAGGATGGTTATTAATCTCCAATTTGTATTTTTAGTCCATCAGAAACGACCACTTAATTATCTTTTTTACTATTTATTGTTCAACTTCCATGTCTGTGTTTACCTATACGTTTGTGGTTTATATAAAAATGTGATTTTAGTGGCAAATAAAGCAGTAATTTTGTACTTTTTGATTTTATGCTAGAGTTTGAATACTCCAATCGTACTATATGGAATGATGGAGATTACTCATCTCAACTACTTCAATTGAAGGAACTTTGTTGTTTTCTATGTTCTTATCCAAACTTAAAATTTCAATATTTTGCTTTTTAAGCTTTTGTTCCTAAAGAACATGTTTAGTGACGCTATATAAAAAGTTCTACTAAAGTTGAGCAGAATTTTTACAAGCATCTTGGTCTATATGATCATGTATGTAATAATTGTAATTCTGTTCCCTTTTAGTTTATGCTGCCGTATATAAACATAAACTGTATCTGATTGATCGAAACTATCTAATTGTCCATTTCAATCATGTAATAATTTTTGAGTGAGACATATTAAAATAAAAAATAAAAAAAATCTTAATTTGTGCGAACTCAATGCTTGTGTGATTGACACGTGTCCTGAACAATCCACGTGTCTGCTCAGATTGATTCATTATCCACGACCCGACAGTCAGTTGCGTTGGGATCCCGGTCCCCTATTCTATCATCACCACGTGTCCTACATCCTCACCAGTAGGGTCCGACACGGAAATGACATCTCTCTCCCCCAAATTCCAATCTATTTATATCAGCAAAAATGGAGGTGCTCAAATCAACCACTGTTACACTCTCTTTTATTAGCTCTCTTTCGTCCGTGATTCATTGAATTAGGGTTAGGGTTTCCAAATCGTCGTTTAAGGACAGTCAAATGGAGGCAACAAATGAAGTATCAGAGGGTTTGTTAGACAAGATTCGACCACCGCGTCTCGAGGACGCCGGCCTCGAAGACTGTGCACTACCGCCTGATTCCATAAAAGAGGCCTTCCTCAAAGCCGCGACCGCCGTCGGCTCACGCGCCGCCTCTATCTTCTCCGCCTCCGACGAGGATGATTGCATCAACGATCCATGGCCAACCACTAAAGAATCATCGGACGTTCTGGTCGGAATCGAGCCCGGTGCTGACCCACCGGGTCCCTGCGCCACCGAGAAGGGCGGTGGATTGCCGGAGGTGACCGGAGACGAGGTGGTAGTTGGTGGTGCTGATGCTTCGGATACGGGTGATAAGGTGGTGGGACCTGATGTTGCGGAAGGAGGAGAGGAGGCTTGTGTCGATGGATTAGAAGGTTTGAAGATCGGTGAGAAGGGCAATGGGGACAAGGATGAGAAATTGAAGAAGGGTGGAGATGCGGAAGAGAAAGAAAAAGAAGGTGAAAGACCCATCTTAGTTGAAACTTATATATGAATTGAAAAAAGAAAAAACCATAGTTTTACATGTACATAATGTTGTTGTGTTGTGGGGGTATGTTGACTAGTTTGGCAAAGTTTTTGTTCAAGCTGAAATGAAATATTATGCTACATTTTTACTCGAATTATTCTTTTGTTGCTTATGATTTTCAGTGGAAGTGTTACTTGTATCTTGTTCTTTGAGAATGATCTCTTATGGTAAAAGTGGTTTTTGGTTTCAGCTATATGTAAAAAATTTAAGAGTGTGTTCTGTCTCTCACAAATTGAATGTTGACAATGAGTTTTAGGAGGGTTAAGCATCAATATATGATAGTAAAATAGTATGATAGTTGGAGAGGAATTGGTGAGAAGTAGGTGCAAGAAATGTATTGTAAGATCATGTTACATTTTAGGCATTAGACACAACACTAATGCAATAGCAGAGGTATGGGTTTGTCTGGATTGTCCTTGATTTAACATTTTTGTTTCATAATTCAGAAAGATTTTGCTCACATTAGTTACTACCTAACAGACTATTCCCTATTGCTGTCATTTCAACTGGTATTAAACTCCTGTTGCTTAGTTACCCTTGAAATAAGGAGGAAAGCAAAATATTAACCTCATTTTGTGAGAGGAAATTATTTTCCTTTCTTTAACTGAATTTATGAACCAAGTGGAGGCATATAGTGTCTTGTGAAACTCAAGCATCGTGTGGGGGATTTCTTTGTTTGTAGTTGTGGAGATCTATGCTTTGATACTGCCTGAGATGAATAGTGAGTTCATTGATTAATGCACCTCCAGTACTGGTGAGGTCAGGATTGTGGCCGTGCAGCGCTATGATTATCTGGGATGAACAAGATGTGAGTTTGATCTCCTTCCTTACAATTATTGCATATGAAGATACTTCTGGGAAAATGTGGAGAGCTGGATTTGTCTTGGATGAGTTTTCTCCTGACCTGGTAGTAGTAGTCATGATCTGCTGCTGGCTGATGAAAATTTTCAGATTGAATTGAAATAGATAACCAACTTCTACTTTAATCATCTCTCGTTTCCCATTTCTTTGCTTATTCTTAAAGTCTTTTCATTTTTATTATATATTCCGTCTTTTTCTAGACACTTATTTGTCGGTTAATTAGTACTAAACTTTTCTAAAGACGCAGACTTTTAATATAACTTATATTAATACAATGAAAATAGAAAATACTCTTTAAAATTTGAATAAATTACACTCACTGCTTTGAGGTTTAGACAAATTACACGTAGGTAGATCATTCGATGTTTATTACATGACCTCCCATTGAGATTTGGTAGGTGTTTTCTTTCTATTAGACTTGTTGACCAAATTTTATGAAAAGATAATTTTGTCCTTCTTTTGTAGGAAAAAATAGAGCATTATTGATTTTTCACATTTAAAGTCATCATCTCGCAGCGGTCAAACGGATTTGCTGTTTGTAATTTGCTCAAATTTTAGAGAATGTCACAAATTTACTGTGCATAATTTGCTCAAACTTTAAAGAATGACTGCGAAATTTACCCTTAAATTTTTCACCTCAGTCTCAGCAGAATCTGCATTGTATGACACTTGTATAGAAAGGATCCTTGAAATAAAGGCCAGTTTGGTTTACTTTTTTAAAAAGAAAAATTAAACCTAATAGGGAGTTAAAGTCTTGTTTGGTTAATTTTTGGGTCAAGTGCAAAAAGTACCCTAAAGTATATGTTTACAATACATATCACACATTTCATGTGCAATAAACACTCTTAAAATTTCTATTTAGTACAAATAAATCCCTTTGACAAATTTAAACCTTAGTTAACTAAATTATTCTTACTGAACCATTTTATTAAATATATAAAAATAAATAATTTTATAAAATGACCAAAAAGACACTATTAGAGGATGCTCCCCAGATGCAAAAAACACCCCTAAAGTTTCAATTAGGTGTAAATAGGTTCTTTTGACAAATTTAAACCTTAAATTGACTGAATTACCCTTATTGAATCATTTTACAGTACTAATTTATTTCAGATAGAGTATTTTTACATAATGTGAAAAGATTAGGAGTATTTTTTGCAAACTTTTTAAAATAAGGAATAAAAGTGCTATGCAGAATATATTTTAAAGACGTCTTCTGCACTTGTCCCTTAAATTTTTTAATTCGAAAGCATTTTTTTATTCTCAAGTAAATTAATGAGTTTGTGAATGCGTTTGCAATTTAAAATTCTTCTCTAAAATCTATTCATTCAAATATTTTTTATTCATTATTGGTACACATTTATAAGGAGTAAAAGTAACAAATAATTTGAAAAATAATGACAGATTTTGAAAAGAACAATGATAGACTCCTGACAAAATAACAGTCCGACAAGTTTTCAAATTTTCTTTCAAAAATTGTCTTACGAAAACTACATCGGAGAAAAGTTTAGATTTACTTAATTTAATTTTGTAGAAAATAATTTTCTGGTCTGTACATAGTAAAAAACTAAAATGTTTATAAAAACTTCTATATAGTATTTGAAGTAATCTTTTAAAATTGAGTTAAAGGGGTCTTAATAAATAGTTTCTTCTAAAAATGTTTTCAAATATCTGAGACAAGTTTAAGCTACTTAAAACTAGTTTTATATTTAAGGGTGTTATTCATCAATCATCATTATCCAAAAAATTACTCTTTAAACTTTGTTTTACAGAAGTAATTTTAACTTTTTCTTTAGGATAAAGTGTAAAAAATCTCTCCTGCACTATTAATTTTTTGCAATTAACTCCCCTAAATTAAAAATTGTTCCTTAAACTGTTGATTTGTTGCAATTAAGGACAAATTCATCACAAAATACTATTTTATCCTTTGTTATTATATTTGTCATTTCTTATTAAATTATTTTTTATTATATTTTCTCTTATTTAAATATTAATTATACTCAAAATTAGTATCAATTGATTATAAAAATAGAAAATAAATAAATAGATTCGTAACTATCATTTTCTAAAATGATTAACTTATTATACTAGCTTTTAAAAAATTTGGTATAAAAAAATATCTTCATTTCAAACAATATTCATGAAAAATTAATAAATTACGATAATAAAAAATATCTTCTTTTTAATGCAATATATTCATGAAAATTAAGAAATTACTTAAATTGTTTCAAAGTTTTCTATTTAAGATTTTTATTTAAATAATTAATTAAAAAAATTAAAGCCAAACTTATGCAAATTTAATAGAGAATATTTCATCAAATTAATATGAATTTTTTTCATAATTTATTTCAACAAGAAAAATATATCAAGTGTAATTCAATAAAAAAAAGTATTATGGTTATTTAATGAGAATATGTAAGATAATGGGGCATTTTGCAACTAAATATGATAATTTAGAGAGTTTCATGTACAAAATATAATTTAAGAGAGTTATTTACAAATTTAAACGTAATTAAGGAATTTTTTACACTTTACCTTTTTCTTTATTACTAAAGGAAAAAAAAAAAATTGAATGCCAAATTTCATTCAAATTTCAAATTTCAAATTTCATGTCCCTTTCTGTAATTAAATTTATTTTGATCTTAGCAAAAAGTACAACTGCTGGAAAAGACAAATAAGCAGAGTTGAAAAACAAAAAACATAAAAACGGGGAAAGAGAGAGAAACAGTGAAAGATGGAGCCTGGAAGAAGCAGCGCAAGAGCAACGTTGCCTACAAATCGGATAAGCTCCAATGTACCTTTGGCGTCTTTGCAAGTGACTCAACGTTTCACTCTCTCGCACTGCCCTCATTTGCGTAGAACTAACGTCTTCGCTTCTGGTTTTTGCTCATTGCTCAATTCTCTCTCTCTCTGTCTCTCTCTCTAAAAGGTTAGCAAACTAGTGCTTTTCTTTTTGGTTTGGGTTTCAACATCCAATGGTTATTTTAGGTGATTGAAAGGAAGAGAACAATCTCAAAAGGGTTTGATATATTTAGTTCAATTTTGAAATCTTATCATCTTTGTGGTTGAATTGAGGATTAGAGCGCAACAAATGTAGAAGAAAAAATTTACCCTTTTAGAGAGAGAATGAAGTGGGTGTTTGGCTATTTGATGGCTGGGATTGGTGTTCTTGTTCTAGCTTCTGTGTTTGTTTCTGCAGAGCGTAGTTTGAAGCATGACTTTTTGAGTAACATTTGGACTCCAGAAGAGGGTGATTCGAATTACTTTACAAATATAGTCAATTTCTTATGGCAAAAAAGTCGATTGGGTTATCAACATGTTTGGCCAGTAAGTCCATTTTCAATGCAAAAATTTGTTTCGAAAGATTTCACACATTTCTTTCTTTGCAATATTTCCAATTTCAGCGGTTTTTTTTTTTTTTTTTTTTCTTTTTCTGAAGCTAACTTTGCATATGTTTGTGGTTGTGTGTGTGTCACTATGATATTGAAGTAGAAGTATATTTTTTTGCCGCTCTCAGTTCAATGTTAGTGGAAACTATTCTTAATTTGTGAAATTGGATTTACAGGAAATGGAATTTGGGTGGAGAATTGTTGTGGGGACGATAATTGGATTCTTTGGAGCAGCGTTCGGGAGTGTTGGTGGTGTAGGTGGTGGTGGCATCTATGTTCCCATGCTTACTCTGATCATTGGGTTTGATACGAAATCATCAACGGCAATTTCAAAATGTAAGAGTAATTCTAAACTTCTAGTTAGGGATGAAAATATTTCACTTGTTTTGGTAGTAGTAGAATCCTTTAGAGAAGTCATCTTCTATGCAGACTATAGACTCATTGTATTTCTATTCCCTGGATCTGGGAGGATTGAGGAATAGGAGATTAAAACCAAATAGCATGGTAGCTAACTAGCAATTCATCTTATTTATTAGCATTTCAGAGTTTTCGTGTACCTATAGACGAATTACAGTTGTGCATGCAGTGTGCTGAATTTTTTTCGCATTTTGCAACTATGTGACCATTCTTATAGGATGCAGCAGTTTGTTATGGTGTTTTCTTTTCCAGCACCTTTTTGGCCTTTTGTATTGTTTGATTGATTTTTAAGACCGGGTGTGTTTCAGTTGTAGCTTAATAGCATGTTTTCATCGTTTTCATTTTTGTGTAGATCTTGCTTTTGTTAATCAGAACCTTCACTACTAACTCACAATTACATATAAATATATTTATATCTCTAATAAATATAATTTACCATATTATTGAAGCACAAAGCCTGGAGTGTGTCATACTATTTGTTTGGTCAGGTATGATCATGGGTGCAGCAGCTGCAAGTGTTTTATACAACCTCAAGCTAAGGCATCCAACACTTGACCTGCCGATCATTGACTATGACCTTGCACTTCTTTTCCAACCAATGTTGGTGCTGGGGATCAGCATTGGAGTTGCTTTCAATGTGATGTTTGCTGACTGGATGGTTACAGTCTTACTGATTATTATTTTTTTAGGTAATCATTATTTAAATTGGAATTTCGGCACTTGTTATCTTATCGGGCAATATTCTTCATTGGTTGAGATAACCTGCAGGAACATCAACTAAGGCATTCTTCAAGGGTGTTGAAGTATGGAAGAAAGAGACCATATCTAAAGAGGTTGTATAAAGCTTCACTTGTTCTCTATATGAATCAGTGTTATAAAACTTCAAATGTTCATACCTCTCTTGTCTCACTTGTTTCCGATTTCCAGGAGGTTGCAAGACGCTTGACATCTAATGGTGAGTTGATTTGTCCCGTGTTCAATCTTTAAAGGCTAAAAGATTCCTTGATGGGCTAATTTTGTATAAAATTGTGAAATGGGACATACCATCTTTGTCTATTATCAGGTATCGGTAGTGAAGAAGTGGAATATAAACCTCTACCTGGAAGTCCCAGCAATGGCTTTAAAATGGAATCAAAGGAATCTAAAACATCAAAGGTATGACACATTTACAGTCTGTACATATATGACTCATGGTTTATAAGACCTGACTTTTTAATGTTCCCAGGTCTCTATTATTGAGAATGTCTACTGGAAGGAACTTGGTATTCTCGTTGCTGTCTGGGTCATAATCCTTGCACTGCAGCTTGCCAAGGTTTTAGTTTGTTATGTCATTTTCTTTCCCCTGTAATTTTGGTTTATTTGTGTCTTCCTACATTTATGATCTAAGTTGATAGGAAATCTATACATGTTTGATACAGAATTACACGACGACATGTTCTGCGACATATTGGGTGTTAGATCTGCTGCAGGTAATTTCTTTGATAAAATGCGAGTCAAAAAGAGCATTCCCTCTCGTCTCAATGGGTGAAAATGTTGGTAGGCCTTTTGGTTGAGACGGCACTGCCATATGAAATATAGGATTATCTATAACTTCTGTTTCTAATGCATACAAGTGAATGATCCCTTTTCCTTGCCATTCAGATCCCCGTGGCTGTTGGAGCATCTGCATATGAGGCAATAAGCTTATACCAAGGGCGGAGAGTGATTTTGTCAAAGGGAGAAACAGGAACAAACTGGCAACTGCACCAGTTGGTTCTTTACTGTTCTTGTGGCATTCTGGCTGGTGTTGTAGGTGGGCTGCTAGGTCTCGGTGGAGGATTCATTTTGGGTCCACTCTTTCTGGAGCTGGGAATCCCTCCTCAGGTGTGTGATGAATGCAGTTCAGTTCATGTTTTATTTTCCATTTCAGTACTGAAGTATTTTGTAAAAGAGCAGTGCCGATCATTTCATTCCTATATCAGATCAATGTTTTTTTCTTGAGGTAGTTAAAAAACACGACGATCAGTGACTGAAAGGGGAAATTTAATTGCACTATATCATATGTTCAGTGATGCTCCTTAACAAAGACATTTGAAAGAACCTGGAATTATTCTAGTGTCTAATATCTATTGAAGTTATTATTCTTCAAACTGTGATCAATCACCCCCTTCATAGCCTTCAATCAATGTTTACATATTCATGTAAATCGTCGCTGGACTTATTAGTTAAGAATTTTATATGTAGGTGTCAAGTGCCACCGCTACCTTTGCCATGCTATTTTCCTCATCCATGTCTGTTGTAGAATATTACCTTCTGAAACGTTTTCCAGTTCCTTATGGTAAGTTGTTTTGCCAAATTTGCGTTCTGCTTTCAAAAGGTTTTGATTAATGCTACAGAATACCCACTTGACCAAGTGGGTAGGAAGATTTGTACATAATTAATGTGTATGTTTGTGTATTGTCTGTGTGATGGCAGCTCTCTACTTTGTGGTTGTGACCACCGTTGCTGCCTTTGTAGGTCAGCATGTGGTTAGAAAGATAATCACCATACTAGGCAGAGCATCTTTGATCATCTTCATTCTCGCCTTCACAATATTTGCGAGCGCAATCTCACTAGGTAAGTATCATTTACAGTAGCTACATGCAAAATGCTATTTTATTCATAGATTGAGAGTGGGATTGTTAGATTTATCAACTCCTAAGTGCAATTAGGTTCATTTTATTTGTTTTGGGTGTTAAAAAGCAATTGTTTTTTTTTCCCCTCCTTCCAAACAGGTGGATTTGGCATAATAGACATGATCGAGAAGATTGAGGCGAAGGAGTATATGGGATTTGATAGCATCTGTGCATAGAAAGAATTATTTTCTTTACCGAGTCAGTAAGGGGTTCGAACCTTGGTGGAGGCATGTGTGTGCGAGTACCAATTAGGAAAAAAAAAAAATTTATTTTCTTTTATTGCCTGTATTTTTTATTTTTACTTTCATTTTTTATGCTAATATTTAAAGCATTTTTGTTATTACGGTTGTCTAAGTATTTGTCTATTCTTAATTTTTAGATTTTTTTTTTTACAAAAATCTACCTTAAATGTGTTCAACTTTGAATTAATTTTCTTAAAAAACATTGTTCCCTGATACGCCCGACTCCTATGCGGCCGAGTGGGTTTGGAATGGGGGTGCCCCATCCCAAATCGACCCGTAATCCCTACAGAGCACAGACAAACCGAATGAAGGTCAGAATTGTTAGAATTTTATTTTATTTTTTTGTGAGACAGGTTTGGAATAGGGGTGCCCTTAATCCATACAGAGAACAGACACTGAATGAAGAAAGAATTGGTGGGATGCAGATCCAAGTTGAATGCACAAAACTTGTATAGTTAGTTGGTTAATTCAATTGGACTATTCAAATAAAATGATTAGCAGTTTCTCTCAGTTTGATCATGATTCAAGTCAGCAGTCATGGACATGATCAAGTTAGAGCAGCCAAAAAGCAAATCTAAGTTGAATGCACAAAAGTTCTATAGAAGGTTAGTTCAATTGGACTATTCAAATAAAACTATTAACAGATTCTCTGTAGTTTGATCATGATTCATGTCAGCAGTCATCAACATGAACAAGTTATAGCAGCCAAAAAGCAAGGAAAATATTTTCTGTGTCGGGTAGGAAAATATTTATCAGAATACAAGCAAGCCCATGTCGGAACAAATTCGAGATTTCTATCCTGGGCACGAAAATTTACCAGAATACAAGACCAACCTGTAGGGAAAAAAGCTTTGCCAGTAACACCAAATATCTAGACAGCCAAAAAGCAAGGACAATATTTTCTTTATTGGGCAGGAAAATATTTATTACAATACAAGCCCATGCAGGAACAAATGAGAAATTTCTATCCTGGGCATGAAACTTTACCAGAATACAAGAAAAAAGATTTGCCAGCAACACAAAAAATCTAGACAAACTATAAGTCTCATTATTTCATTAAAAATGCTATTACTGGGTATTTATCAGTACACAGACAAAATTTTAAAATATTATTTGCACAAAATTACACCCCTCCCTGTCAAAAAATTGTTTCTATGATCGACAAGCATCTTACCATTTGCATAAAACAGTGACACTATTATCACCACCTGATAACATTGAATACAATTCTTAGTTTAAGGGCAAAGCACATACATCTAATCAAAAGTGATCAAGAGAGGTGGGCTCATTTTGGGGTTTCATTTTTGTAGTTGATGAACAATAGTTAGGGTTCACCTTAGTCCAAAATACTGAGAAATATTGCCAATATTTGGCCAAAAAACCTGCAATTTAGATTCACCTTACAGGCTTACCCCAAAAAACCTGCAATTACCAATAATTAGCTGGCAACAAGTTTAAACCTTTCTACTCACCAAATTAAAAATAAAATAAAATATACATTTACATATCCTCACAATAGTTTTTTTGCACGGATTTTGGATATAATTTCGTTTCTTACATCTTTTTGTTCCTTTGCTGCCAATAAATGATTAAACGGCTTGAAAACAAACTTTTCCATAGACATGAATTTAGAGAAGTCCAGCAAGAAATCAAATTATGAATCATGTGACCAAACAGTGCGTCAAAGGTGATATATGAGAATCTTTACAAATTTGCCAGGTCTTTAAACAATTAATAACATCAAATAGATGAGAGGAAGATGGGAAGCTTAAGAGCACATAATGCACTTGAAGCTATAAAATGTAAAATAGAAATTAACAACGAAGAGTTCTCAAATCAAAAGCATCAAAGATTCTAACTGTCTTCTGAGTTTTTCAGTGTCTCAAGAAAATGTTGCAGATATATTGCTAAAGAATCTATCTACCAATTCAAAAAACATATCATGATTACCAAAAAGTTAAAATTCTCATGGAAGAGATCACCTCCAATACTGCATCCGCCTAAACCAAAGCCAATTTTCACTGCTGCTTTTTATTCTTAGGTTTAGAGGGGATTTTCCCATATGCCAAAAGCCTTGACTGTGATAGTTTGAATTCGGCTTGACGACGTCTTCTCTTGCTTTTCCTGGATAGCTTGCTCATATCGTCATTTGATTCCTCCAGTTGTGCTTTCCCATGTTCTGCTGCACCAGTCACTGTAGTCATTCTTTGACCATCATCTCTAGAGGTCCTTCTACCAGTCTTCTGGCCATTCAATTTCTCTTCTTCAAGAACCAGCTTATTCCTCTGTTTTAGGTTGTGAATCTTAGTTCGAGCCACCCTCCATTCCTTCTCCCTATAAGGAGACAGCTTCTTCAAAGAAACATATTGATTCAATTCTTTGTCATCCATCATTAAGATCTCCTCAGCACTTAGTCCAAATTTTTGAGGATTGACCACTTTGTACCTGAACCTTGTTTTGAGGTCCTCTATGGTATCCTCATAGTCCAACTTATAGTACTCCTCCAACTCCTTATCTAGAACCTCCTTCTCGAGAGAGGACATTTTTTGCTTTTTCTTCTGCTTACCATCTTTAGGCACTAATTCTTCTCCTCCTACCTGGTCATTATTACTTCCACTGTCTGCCTTACGTTTTAAAGTTCTTTCTCTGGCAGCTATGAACCCATCACCAGACCCAGACACACAGTCCCAACCTTTGGAAAGTCCAAGCAACTCATCTTCTTTATCAAAATCGGGTTTCTCAGCTTCACTGTCATCTTCGCTCCCAAACTCAGGATCTACGTCGTTTGCCTCATAGTAATCATCATCAAATGCTTCCTTCATCTTTCTATCATAATCCTCAGGATCAAATTCCTTCTCAAGATCATCCAAATCCAACGAGCAAGACACATCTTCACCGATTCCTGCCGTTTCCCTAATCTTTCTGAGCTTCTCATTCATCTCTTTCTTCTTCAAATTCTTCAAGCGTTTTAGCTCCTCCTTCCTCTCTACCTCCGCGTGTGCCATTCTCTCCTCCTTGCTCTTCCTCTGTGTCTTTCGGGCATTCTCCTTCTTCCTCACCGAACCCTCCACAACCCTCGAGTGTCCCAACACCCTATCCCCTGCTTTCTCCTCAAACCTAAAATTAAACTCCCTCTCGTAATCGTCTTGCTTCTCAATCTCCTCTTCGTCATCTGAAATGCCCAAAACATCTTCAACCAATGGATTCTCACCCTTGCTCTCGTCAACCCACATCTTATTTCTAAAATAATCTTTCAAAAACTTCTCATTCTCATCCAATTTATCATCATCACCAAAATACTCATCCAACTTGGTCTGAATCTCAACATCGTCATCACTATCATCCTCATCCGCATTACTATCGTTTGCTTTCTCCTTCAACAACTCTCCGTCGTCATCATCCATAGCCTCCCCAACCGCATCCAAAAATGCCTTCTTTAACTCCTCTTGCTCATCCGCATAGCTCTTCACTTTCTCATTCTCTTCGTTTTCTTCAAATTCGGGACCCTCCTCAATCAAAAGCTTCGCCGTAACATCTTTTAAATACATGGGCTTCACTTTCTTTCTCCCTAAACCTTCTTCGTCCTCTGATTCCTCACTCTCCTCTTCGGTTTCGGATTCGAACAACTTAGCATCTTTGTTTTCAAGACCTGGGTCTTTGTTTTTAACTTTAAGTAAGGCATCAAAAAATTTCAAATCATCTTTCTTACCTAAATCGAAGTCTTCTGATGACGATTCATCAGAGTCGTCGCTGTCACTGTCCGATTCTTCTCCAGCGAGGCCTTTCTTCTTCAGCTCTGCAAGTCTCTGTAAATCCTCGCGTTTTTTGTTGTGCTCGTACCGGCGAGCGAACTCTTCGTCGATTTCGATCTTCGAAATTTTCCCGACGTCGTCATCGGAGCTATCACTGTCGTCGAATAGCTTCATACCTAACTATTTTTTCTTGCTTTCCGATTGAATGTCGGTTACCAGAGGTTGTAATATGAATAAAAGACTCGTTTATAGGGTTGGAAAGTGAAGATTCAGAGGGTCTAGGGTTTCTGTACCGCCCCCGAACAAATACGTCTGTACTGTGTTTGTTACTGTGTGTATTCTATGTATGCGCTGATTCGACGATGGGTAGGCTGGGACAGGCCCATTCCTACTATCAAGACCCGTCGATTACCTGCAATGACTTACTTGGACCGGGCAAGGAGGTGCCTTTTCGAATTATCAGGATTAGTCAGGTTGTTGAGGCGCCTTAAGGGTTCAGGGGACATCCGGGTTATTTAAAAAAAAAAAAATTATTATTTGATTTGAAATATACAATTAATTGAGACATTGAATATGGACTAAAATAAGTGAGTTTATTCAATTAAAAAAGGGAGACATATCCGCATTCCACTTTTCAACATTTGCATTACAATTTTAAATAAAATGGCAATTCTAATCCTAACTATACAAGAAAATAATTATTAATTTTTAAATGACACAATTACCCTTTCAGATTTTTTCTTATCATCTCTAATCTTTAATATTTTAGGTGTCTTTTGACAAGACCAAAAAATAAAAAAAAAAATAGTTAACTTTGTTGAGTAAATATCTCTTGATTGTACCCAAAAAAAAAAAAAAAAGTCACTATGGAATAAATTATTTCTTTTGAATGCCAAAAAAAAAAAAAAAAAAAAAAAAATTATTATTAGTTCGGAATAAATTAATCTTTGTGAGAGGACCTTCGGAAAAAACAAAAAGAAAGGAAAAAAAAATAGTAAAGAAGGTAAAAGACAAAGAAGTTAAAGTTGTATAAAGAATATTATAAATTAAGGAATGGTGCATTAATGAATTCAAGAATCTTCTTGCCATTTTTTTATTATTTGGTAGGAAGGAAAGAAGAGGGGTGGAAGGAAAATATAAAGGAATGAACAAATTTACTTCGTTCGGTAAAGATGATATAACGAAAGAAAGGATAATAAGAAGGATGAGTCATCCTTCCTCTTTCACAAATTTTCATTCACCCATAAGATAGGATAGAAACAAGTGAGACTATTATAAAATATTTAAATTAATACATCACCCTTCATAAATATTTAATTAATTTCATAAATAAAATAAGGGATGGATTTAATAGTAAAAATAACTTAAAATTTTATCTTTCCTTTTATCCTATAAATCAAATTAAATTATCAATTTTTTCCATTCTCTTCCATTCAATTGAACAAAAAGAGGGAAACATGGAGAAAAGTAAGGTGCGAATATTGCCTCCCTTAAAAATTTATTATTATTTAGTTTATTTAGTGCGACTAAAATAATTATTTCAGGTAATAGTTTTCTACACAAATATGAAGATCTTGCTTATATATATATATATATATTGGCAAGAAATAGTGAATATGATTCGAATAAGAAATTTAATAGTTATGTATTATAGGTACATATTACATACAAATACAAATTGGGATGATATAAGGAAAAGTCTGATCAAATTGGCGTACTCTTAGTCCGAGTCTGATCAAATTGGCGTACTCTTAGTCCGAGTCTGATCAAATTGGCTTCCTCTTAATCCGAATCTTACGTGTAACTGTCACGTAATCGTTGATATTTTATTTGCGCTGAAGATACCAAAAATAAATATGAAAAGAAGTTGAAGATGTTTTAACGACCCTCTCTATCTCTTTTCTCTATTCAACTTCTTCCTGCTTCCTTGATTCTTTCTCTCTCTGATTCACGGTTCTCTCTTTCTGCTTCCTTGATTCTTTCTCGCTCTGATTCACGGTTCTCTCTTTTTTACTTTACAAAATTGAAAGGAAAACAAAGCATTGAGAAGTCTCTATTAGTTCATAAAATCAAAGGGGAAAATACATATATATGTTTGCTTGAAGAGGGAAAAACGAACCCTAATAAGATTGAAGGCTGTATTCACACACACACACATATATATATATATATTCAATAATATACTTTGGCTTCTGTATAGTGTACCAGTTTTGGGGATTTGATTAGAAGAAAAAAAAAATTCCGAAGTTCATTACGAAGTTGATGCGATTTCTCTTTAATATTTGACACTCCACCAGACCCATCATCAACTCCTCACCTAGTAGAGCCTCACAAAGGATCTTCTCCAAAAGGACCTCTCATATGACGGTATGTTCATCATCCAACTAGTATCCTTGTCTCTTTTCTCCTTCTTTTCATATTTATTTTTATTTCTTTAGCACGATTTAGATAATTATGTGTATTCGGATTAGGAGTATGTCAATTTGATCAAACCAGTATCATTACAACAACAACAAAAGTTGATGCAAGTGCATAGCAACAACGACAACGAAGTTATGCAAGTACATTACTAAGAGGACACAAAACTATTTCACATTGTGGTTTGATCTGTCTCAATTCCTCGCTATCAAGGGAATGGTAAGTGGTTATGATCTTAGAATTCAAGAAGAAATAATTCGTGACATCATGTCTTACATACGGAGTACAGACAGCTTTGATAATGTTGGAGGATCTACAACCCTATTCATAGTTCGCATTGTAATAGAGACATGGCAGAATTCGCCAATTCTTGATCAGATTAATCAAGAATCCAAACACGTACTAGATGAGTCCTTGTAGGAGGAGAAGTTTAGAGTACGGACTCGGATCTCCTCACGTACCACGGGACGTCCTGTGTACAAGGAAGAGTAGGAGGAAAAGTTATACAATCAATTATTAAAATTTGGATTCTTTTAGTACTTCCTACTTATATGATCAGTATTTTGGTGTAGCTGTAAGTTGCGCAGTGTGAAAATTGTGTAAGTATTAAAGTGTATTTTCCCCCCTCTTTGAAGATGGAAAGGTTATACCAGAAGCTCTTTGGCTACGGATGTCAACTTTGTGCATATGCCAATTTAAATTTTTATGCAATCAATTATACATTATTCTCTCTTTAGATTTCTTTTAGGACCTACTTACATGATCCATATTGATATTCGTTTTACTTTGTTATCACGCTGGTGTGATTTGATCTCTTTTGTGTGAAAAAAAAAAAAAAAAAAAAAAATGATCTCTTTTAAAACGAATTAGAACAGGTGAATAGATCTAATTTGTTAGCTTGATTGATTTTTAGATAAAAAATACTTAATCTCTAGATGTGATTCAATAACAAATGAACATATTCTCTCTAATTACAAAATAAAAAAAGTAATAGATAAAGAAAACAAAAAAATTGGATGAATACAAAATGTGATTCATCATAAAATATAACTCTACTAATTGATTTTCCGTTCTCCAAACTGTGAGAACTGAGAAGTAAACAGTGTAAACCAGTGAAAAATGATACAAAAATGATATACCACTTTTACAAATCCAAATGAATCATTGTTCATAAACAACCTAAATTTGGTTAGTTAAGGTTGAATTTATATTAATTTATTAAGTAAATAAGTCAAACTCGACTCTTAATTATCAACTTGTTTATAAGGATGATGAGTTTGCCTGATAGTAGGGTTGATTTATGCTGGCACATGTGCCATGCCTAATAGTATTTGTCTTTTATGAAAAATACAATTTGAATATCTCTCATACCTCATTTTCAAAGAAAAAAAAAGTATTCATGCCTAGTAATGTGCTTCTTCCAAATCGGGATCCTCTCTTAAGCGATTTTAGGTCAGGTGCAGTTCAGTGCATTTAAATCCGATAATGCAATCGCACAACAACTTTAAAGTAACAACTTGACAATTCTATTAAGGTGTTTAAATTTTCAATTTAATAGTATTACAATACGATGTAAAATGTTGAATTGTGTCACATTACTGTTACATGGGTGTTGTATCTATGTTCATGAGTTTAGTCAAAAGCCTATATAGATCTATGTTCATGAACACAAACGAGCCTATATGAGCTTGTGTAGGCTCGTTTGTGTTCATGACCTCCCCGAACAACTTTTGTTATTAAACAAGCCAAGTTCGAACCAATCCTTAGTTTTTCAAAATAATGACAAGTCGAACTCGAACTCAAAATTTTAAACTCATCATGATCTCAAGCTTAGCCCATAAATGAACCAGCCGAACCCAAACAGACTCAAACTCGCCTTGACTTAATTCATTTGCGGCCCTACTTCTTGCTTCTTTTCCCCTCTGCAAAAAATGCAATACCATCCATTTATCTTTTTTCTTTTCTTTAGTTCTTTTCTCGTACCAAACCTGCCCAAAACCATAGTACAAATTATTGATTGCTAATAATAGGAGAATATGAACCATAGAATCGGTGCTAATTGCTAGGTTATTTTTAGGCTTGGAAATTTAAAGCAAAGTCAAAATTAGTGAAGCACATGGATGGTTACAAGCCAATACAACAAAGATCATAGGCCATCACAATTCATAGGATCAATTTATAATAATTACAGGGTCATTTAACCTGTGTCCAGCGTGCCCTGTTACTTTTGAGTTGGACTATTAAAATCTCTGGTCAACAAGGTCCGACCAACAAGTCAATAATAATTTAAATTCACCAAAACCTTGGGAATATTTTCAACCTCACCAGCTTTATCCACATTGTGAGAAAGAGAGAGAGTCATGAATGCTTAGAATAAGGTTAACGGATCCATATAACGTGAGGAAAGAAAAAGACAAGAAAAAGTTGGACCATGTCAATGTGCCAGCACCAAACTGCAATCAAATGGTTCTTTTACATTTGTAATAGGTGACTCTGACTCACTAAATAGGGATGAATATATGAGGGAGAGAGGTGCTTTTATAATCTGAGTTTCCTACATGGTATCTGGGAGAGAGAGAGATTGAGAGAGAAAAAAAGAGAGAAATCCTTTCTGGGTTTTGAAGATAAGTGCTAGATAGAGCATATCCCAACTGGGTTTTTCTTGCGCTTTTGATTAGGAGGTGGTTTGTGGAGATCTAGAGAGATGTTGGAAGGGAAAGCTTTGATAAAGGACACAGACATGCCAGAGAAGATGCAGATCCAAGCAATGTCTTCTGCTTCTCAAGCTCTGGATCTCTATGATGTTTTTGACTGCAAATCTATTGCTACCCACATCAAAAAGGTACACCCAATATTCTCTCTCTCTCTCTATTTATCTTTTTCTCTCTCTAATTTGATACATCTTTTGCTGAAAGATTTTTGTTGATCATTTTAGGACTTTGACAAGAGATATGGGAACGGATGGCAATGTGTGGTGGGCTCAAATTTCGGTTGTTTCATCACTCATTCAAAGGGAACTTTCATTTATTTCACATTGGAGACTCTAAAGTTCCTTATCTTTAGAGGGGCTTCTTCTTCTCCCTCTTCTTCCCCCTCATCTTCTCCTTGATGCATGTTTGGCTGCAAAGAAAGTACTTCTTTTTTTTTTGTTCTCTTAAGGTAGCTAGCAAAGAAAGTTCGAGAGAGGGGAAATGTAATAGATAGAAGTGCAATCCCTTCTCTGCAGGTACAAGCTAGGCTGTTTTCAGAAAATGCAGGGGTAAAGGAAGAAGAAAGCAACTGGCATCCACATGCTAAAATCTGGTCTTTTGGATCATCCTCTGTGTTTTTATGAGCCTTGTAATGCTATAGAGGAGCATTTCAATGCCTCCTTTGTACCCATATAATATATGTGTGTGTGTGTGCGCGCGCGCGCGTGAGTGTGTAGATAGTAATCTTGTGTGCAGATATCTGAGACTTCTTTTCATTGTGTCTTATCTCCCAACTCATCTCTCTTATCTCTAATACACTTATTTCCCTACCTAATCTAAATTGTCAGTTCGTTTCCAGAGGAAATGGATTGAAACACACACACACACACATTAAAAGGGGAGAGAATAGATTAAATGATATAATTTGACAAGTCAGTTATGAAAAATATCTGGGGCTGTAATATCAAAATTTACCATTTCCCAGCCTTCTTGGCAACTTAAAGAGATTATGTATGTTTTCATGTGAGCATCTAATAGGAGGGGACCACTTGGCTGTCCCAGAGAGGTCTCTGTTTCAAACATTTTTGGGGCGAGTGATTGGTGATCTTATCCAAGCCAAGCCATTCTTGGCTCACGAAGGATGTGGTTTTTGAAGTGCCAAAGTAGAATTTTATCTCCCCCACCCCCACCAAAAAAAATGGACAGAATTAATGGATGACTCAACCTCAACTTTATGTAAATAAACTGTATTAGGGAAAACCTTCCATATCGATGATACCATCATGTGTAAATGGAATTCTAAATAGGGAGGAAAAAAATAAATCGCAGAGTCAGTGGATTATGAATCATATATTACTGTTATATCCCATGGACTTGTTTAGCATTTGCTTAGTTCAGAATCAGGAAATTTTTTGCAAAACTTGCAAGAAGAACATGGGGTGGATCAGATAGTAATTTGACAAGTTAGACATTGAAAATATCTGGGTAGTAAAGTTAAGTGGTGTGTCTCAATTTGTGCAATCTGAAAGGTATGATTGCATTATGCTGAAGGTTATAATTTTTTTTTTTTTTAAAATTATCAAACCTAAAGGAAATCAGTAGAAATATGCTGAATGCACTAATTTCTTGACAATAGACCTTTGACAGTTGTGGGTATGTGGGTATATGATTTAATATATGACATGAACCTCACATGTTGACGTCGTATGATGACTCACACATACCCCAAAATGCATTGCCTAATATCTTATGTCGATGTAGACATATCATCAGGAGAACGCAAACCCGACTCAACCCGGCCCGGTGGTCCATAGACTTCAAATGAGCATTTTTGAAGACAAATATTTTCCTCATATCAGTTTCGGTAGTGAAAATATAACTGCATAGACCTTCTCTCTTTGGATTAGGCTCAAGCAAGAAGTTTTCCCCCTATTAATCTCGCTTGAAGTACTTAACGCGAAGTTTTTTTCTATAGATAAACCTTGCTCAAAATACTATCTGAAAAATTCTTCCCTACAGATAAAACTCTGTTTGAAAGATTAATGAGCTCTTTGCAAAAAAAACCTCCCCATAACACAGTAGCAAGTAGCTCTTCCTCACTGAAAAGACCTTACTTGAAGGCACCTTTGAACATTCTAGGGTGGGAGCTTGACCTAAGTCTGTCAAGACCTAGTATAGGGGTGCACACAATTTGATTTGATTCGGTTTAGAGGGTACAGCATAATTAAACAAATCCTAACAGTACGAAAAATATTTGGAACCAAACCGAACTGACAAAACCGTATAAACCTAACCAATCCGTACATCGGTTTGGTTTTCACAGATTAACGTCACCTAAAGCATAATCTAATAATAATTACGTTACTTTAAAATTAATTACTTGAAAACAACTTTGATGATTTAATAAATTTTCCTTCTATTGCCTATTCAAATTGCATTTCTTGTTTCTAATGTAATATGTATTATTAAAATATGTCTACAAAAACTAGAATACAATTTATTACAATGTTTAAGCGAATAAGGGTCAAGGTTAAGAAAAAAGGGATGCATATAACCTAATTCTATGTGATGCAAGCTTGTGTTAAATATAGTTATGAACAAATCAAATGAAAACAAATATGTATGTACAAGTATTACAACTCGGTTTGTTTTGGTTTGATTTGATTTGTTTGTTTGTTTTTTTTTTTTTTTTTTTTCGGTGACATTTAAACAGTGAACCGAATTGATCCTAACGGGTCCACTACTTTTGTAATCAGAACTAGAACCCAACCAAACATATGGTTTGGATTGCTTTGGATCATATTGACGGCTTTAATGGATTCGTGTACGGATTCGCGTGCACCCTTAAGCTTAGTGCAAAAACCAACCTATGTGGAACTCTGTGTGCTAAATGTTGGTCCATGTGATCCTAGGAAGGTTTTTGGCTTGGCGGCCAAAGGTTAGGGTTTGTGGAGGAGTAACCCACCTCACCCTACCTCTAGAAGCAGGAAGAGACTATTGACTCCTCTTAACAGGTAATTCACTCCCTCTGCATTAAATGACTGATGTATCCCACTAATAAACAACCTGGGCACAATAAATGAATACTTTGTTACATTTATTAGCCACACTAGTCCTGCAATGTCCAGTTCTACAGATTGGCTCATTTATGCCATTGAGCTACCTGAAGCCCATTTTCTCGTGATGAACTTTTTTCCAATGGGTGGTTATTGTTTCCCCATTAGCAGCTAAGACCTCTCCTGACTCCTGACTCATTAAAGGGAGAAGTAATGACCACCTCCTAACCGGTCTCCCTGTAGAGGCAATCATCAAACAAAAGTCTCAAAAAGAGAAACCATTCTTCCTCGATATATCAATAGCTCCCTGACTCTACCATCCTCTTAATCCCTTACAAGCTCAAATTGATTCTTTCACCTAACTCACTACACCTGAAACTCCCATCATATTGTGTGTAATGTCTCATCATTGGCACTATTCGTTGACCCACAATAATTGATAAAAATCCTTGAGCATACATATAATAGGCCTGTCAATTTAGAAAACAAAACAATTACCATGGAGAACTGCAATGTTTTAGAGGACTGAAAAAATCTGGGACAAACTAACAGGTTAATATTACAATAATAGCAGGAGAACACAAGTTCAAAGAGTCTTCAATCTACTATGAAAGCACAAGACAATCAATTACAGAAAAAATAATAATAATAATAATAAAAATCAGATAGCAACGGATCAGGGATTTGAGCTGCTGAGTACCAACTGAAGGAAGTTCTAGACAATAAGCATGAAGCAATCACTGACTAGTCATGTTGTTTCATAGATTCATTAGATGTCAAGGTCAAAAAATTTGACATAGACTGAGCAGATGAAAAAAAAAAAAAAAAAAATGATGGATTCCAGAGCAAATGTAAACAAATGTTCACTTTATAAAGCATGCTAGTCAAGCAAGTAAAAGAAATCTGAATAATAAAAAAATAATAATAATAATAATTCAGACAGGCAGGCATATTAATATACCTTCTTAAAACAATCAAATAACTGGAGTTAACAGTGGCTTGTTCAAAAAGTGTGCCTCCAAGTTTCTGAGCACAAGATCTGCCATAGCTTTGCAAGTTTCTACAGTATCACTTCCAACGTGGGGCAAAAGAACAACATTTTTGAGCCCAAACAATTGTTCAGGTACCTCTGGCTCTTTCTCAAACACATCAAGCCCAGCCCCACCTAACCGTCCTTCAAGTAGTGCAGACACAAGCTCAGGTTCATCAACGTGTGGGCCTCGTCCAATGTTGATCAGAATTCCCTTTGGACCCAATGCATCAATGACTTCACGATTGACAATGTGGCGTGTTTCTTCGGTCAGTGCACAAGCAACAATGAGAATTTGACAATTACTCGCCAAATCAACTATGTTTGAGTAAAATTTGAAATTCGCAATTGGTTTCTTGGATCTGGAGTAGTAACTAATTGGGCAGCCAAATGCTTCTGCTCTCTTTGCAATGGCAGTACCGATCCTGCCCAATCCAACAATGCCAACTGATTTACCACTGAACTGGAAGAGAAAATAAATAGTAAATAAAGCAGAAACACATCAAGAAAAGGCGGCAAAAAAAGAAATGAGAGCTCAAAGATTAAACTCTATTCAAGTGAAAGGACCTCAATGTTGTTGTTATAAGAGGTCAGGCGCCAAGTGTGAAAACGCATGTTCAAATATGAGGACAGCTAGTATTAGCAAATAACGCTAAAGGTTAAATCTAACCCCTCTGTTCTTCCCAACACCCTGAACTAATGGGAATCAACAGCAGAAATGGTAATATTAAAGGGGAAGATTGTGGGTGGCAGTGAGCTCCACTACGCATTGTTGTAGATTTTTTTATTTTTTATTTTTATATCCCTTCCTTGATTCATATACAATGTGTGTATGCACACACACACACATATATATATTTATAAAAATTTCCCTTTCAATATGGTTTACAGTCATTATTCCACCACACCACATAAAAGGATATGTATAATAATTGATTTCACAAATTTAAACGCATAGCGCTAAAATGAGGTCATAACGTAATCCAGACATAAGTATAAAATCCATCAACTTTTTCCAAGTCATAAAACAGAAAAGGAATATGTATTTGCACTACTCAAAACAGAACAAGCCAAACATGGAAGATACAACATCCAAAATTCTCTACTCAGAACAGAACAAGCCATTACTTTAGTGATTGATATACTACAACAACATGTACTCTGGCACATTTTCTCTTTGATATTCAAACCTTCTTATATTCATAAAGAACAAAATGAATTTAATCAAAGAGTCCCATAGATAATTTGGAGATTGTATATCACTTTTAGAGAGAGAGGAAATTACAAACCTTTGCAGTGAGCTCAAAATCGCGGTTTTTCCACAAGCCACTTCTCACAAACTGATCACACACACAAATCCTCCTCAAAATCGCCAATGTCAACCCAATTGCTGCATCGGCAACATCGTCCGTGAGCACATCGGGGGTGTTGGTAACCCTAATTCCTCTCTCTCTACACTTCACCAAATCGATTTTATCCAAACCCACACTGTAACTGGACACTATCTCCAACTTGGGAAGCGATTCGATGAGTTCCGAGTCAGCCCCAAACGCAGCGTTTCCTACCACTGCTCGGATGGAATCGCAATTACCTCTGAGAAAATCGTTCTGTGAAGAAGCGTCCCATAGTCTGTAGAGTTTGAATCGCTTTTTGAGCTCTTCTTCCAGGTAAGTCAACATTGGACACAACATCAACACGCCAATGCGGTCCATTTGATAGGATTACAACAGCACCCACAGCAACCAAGCGTTTTCCTAATTATGTGTATATATGTTTCTATTGCTCTTTATTTTTTTATTTTTTATTTTTTTGTTTTTGCAATATTGCACTGTTTATGTTTCTATTGCTCTTTATTTAATCAGTTTGGTGCAATGGAAAAGGGAGGAAAGGGAAGGGGAGGTGATGGAGGGGATTAAAAATTTGTGTTTGACAAAAATTGTTGCAAGGAAAGGGAAGGTTTTGGAAGGTTATGTCAAAGCTTGAACAGTGTTTTGCTTATCCTCCCAAAAATGGGAGGAAATGGAAGGAAAGTGAAGGAGAGGCTTGATGAATATTTTCTGATGCCAAATTTACTCACACAAAATCAAGGATTTAGTTTGCAAAACAAGAATTACAGAGCTTGATTAGTTGATTTAGAAAAAAAAATTAAAAAAAAACCCATACATACAAGTTAGCAGTTGCAGAGAGAGAGAGGGGGGCAAGCTTGAGAGTTGAGAGACAGCCGCTGAAGCTTGCGAACGGCGAACCCGAACTGGAACAGCGGGCGATGGAAACTGAAAGAGATGGGTTTTGAAATTTGGAACAATCTGAAATGATATGCCGATATGGGTTTTGATATAGGTAATATGTTTTGAACTTTGGATTCTTGCAACAGATAGATAGACTGAAATATATGGGTTTTGAACTTCTGATTCTAGTAGATTTAGTAGTTCGCAGTTGCAGAGAGAAAAAGAGAGAGCAAGTTGAGAGTTGAGAACGAGAACAGAGATGGAAGCGGCGATTGGGGAGGCTGAAATGATTTGCCCTAAATATATATATATATTTATAAATTTATTTTTTAAAATATAAAAAGGTATAATAGTAAATTTATTTAAATCCTTTCCTTTTCATTCTTATCCAAACATAATTATAATCATTTCTTTTTTTATTCTTCATTAATCACCCAATGACGATAAGAGCGTTTTTTTTCTTTCATTAATCACCCAAACACGATAATATAGACAAGTTTCATGTAAGGGATGGGATTATAGTTTTTGATGAGGGCATTTTGCTTTCACCCATCCATTTCATTTGAATCATTTACCTTCTATTTTGAAAACTAAAAATTATTACTAAATTACAACCTTTCATGATAGGTAAATTGATATTTCTAAAATTATGAAATGTTCACAACTCAACCTCAATTTAAGATGTCTAGTGCCTTTGGTGAACTTTAAAGTGTCACAGAAAAAAATCTCAATTTTCACATGCGAGTCCCTGCCATAAAAAGGATTATATAACAATCAATTTTATCTGGTGAAGTTAAGCTTGGATGCTCGTTTGAAAGATATAAGCGTTAATAAATAGAAGTTTGAGGAGAGAACAATCATCTTGCATAAATATGCCAAAGGTTTAATTTTATATCTAATTTATCTCTCCTAACATCCTTCCTTAGTAATACCACATACACATATACACACACATTATTGGTACATTCCACTAAGTAAACACTGAATTTGATCATCTCCCTTTTTTTTTCTTTTTTTCTTTTTTGATAAGTAAATTTGATCGTCTCCCTTTTGAATACCTGGGTTTCAACCATATGTAACTACTATTTTTTAGCATAGGTTCAACAATAGACATGTCTCCTTTGAAAAATAAGAGCGCTTTCTTAGGATTGGGGCCATCGGGCCTGCCCCATCTGCCCTTCCATTCCCATCCGGATTCTGGACATGAATTTGTCATCCCCTTTTCTATTGGTAACTTGAAGATGACTCTTTTTCAGTTGTGCCTATTCCAAGGTTTTACCCTGCCTCCGGCAAATCAACAACTTTCCGACGACACAGTTTGGCGTCAACTAGCTGATTAGTTGAGCACATAAGCTGCTTATTGAAGTATCAAACTCATTTATAACTGCAGCTAGCACCAAGACTTGGTTAAAGATGCTACGAATAGATGTCTTGAAAGAGAAATACACGAGGATCATAAGATGTTTTTCTTTTTACCAGTACATATTTGTCAACGTCCTGGAAACAATGATCTCTACAATTGGGAGAACATAGGAATGGCAAAAGCAAGATGAAGCCTCCAACCATTCATACATTCATGCAATACAACAGTATTAAACCACTGGTGTTAACAGTGGTTTCTTCAGGAAGTGAGCTTCCAAATTCCCAATGACAAGGTCAGCGATGGCCTCGCGGGTTTCCACCGTGCCGGTTCCTACATGAGACAAGAGGACCACATTATCAATCCCTAATAGCTGCTCAGGTACTTCAGGCTCATGTTCAAACACGTCAAGTCCAGCTCCACCCAACTGGCCTTCAACCAGAGCAGATACCAGCTCAAGTTCATCAATATGAGCGCCTCTCCCGATGTTGATGATGACACCCTTTGGACCCAATGCATCAATGACTTCATGGTTGATTATATGACGAGTATCATCGTTCAGAGAGCATGCAACAACCAGGATATGACAGTTGGAGGCCAAATCAACGACATTTGGATAGTACTCATAATTTGAATCTGGTTTTTTCGATCTGGAGTGGTAACTGATTGGACAGCCAAATGCTTCGGCTCTCTTAGCAATTGCTGTGCCAATTCTGCCGAGTCCAATAATGCCTACAGTTTTGCCACTAAACTGCAAGAAAGATGAGAAAGGATAAGAATATACTGAAAACATAAAGAAACAGCAATTGGGAACTCAGTTGGTCAAGAGCAAGTAAAAGGTCAACAATGGTAAATACAAGCATATGGCATCATTAAACAGTAATTGAACTTTTGTATTGCATGAACCAGTCAGCCATGCCTAAGGAACCACACATAACTTCAGCTCCATGCTCTACATTATTTACACTACAAGGCAACCAAGATATCTGATGAACCCATCAACTAGCAAGATCAATGTCCAAAGAAGGTAGAAAACTGCAGTACATTAGAAAGTGGCTATTAGACACTCATCTTTCTTAAGATCATCGATTTCCGGCAATAGCTACCTCAAGTATTGCAGTGTATCCCCTCGAGAGTAATTTACCATTCACTCCAAATCTAATAATAGTAAAGGGTAAGTGCACCTCCATTAATTTACCCCGACTCTCGACATCGAATAGAAATCTTCTTGGCTCATCTAAAGCTGTAGTGTCCTGAAAATTTTGAATATAGATTAATAATGCACTACGAGACCTCTTTTAAGTCACTTCACACGCTCTAGACTGTCACGGATCCTAAAGATTAGCAGACCCCTGCTATTAGTTTAAATCAAGTAGATTAACTTATAATCTAAAAATATAAAATCTGACCATGGGCAATTCTCATCATAAGTTCTCAAACTTCTCATACATTCATCAATCGTCAAAGATGGATTCCGAAAATTTTTCTAATGAAAATTTCAATCATGAAGAATGAAGACAAGGTGGATAGAATTTGAGTAGAATAGGACCAAGGCAAGAGGGTGGAGAACTTTTTGTCGACCATGAGATAAGCACTTGCAATAAGTATACAACATTAACCTCTTCCATAGCTGCAAGAATGTCATGCTCAGGGTCACACTCCTTGCAATACAGTTATCTACAGCTACTTGCAAGTGACGTAATGGAACAAAATTCAGAACTTGACGCTTGCTTTGTTATAGTATGACACTAGAAAAAGATGCTTATTTATACATTTTTTCAATCATTAAGCTCGCCAGTCTATGCTAAAAGTTTAGAACTACAAACAACCTCAATCACCAGCAGCTCAAGTTATATGGTCACCAATTTAAGACATGAAACAGTGCACGAGATGTCCTGAAATATTAACGTTAAGCTTGCCAGTCCATGCTAAAAGTTTAGAACTACAAACAACCTCAATCACCAGCAGCTCACGGTTATATGATCACCAATTTAAGACATGAAACAGTGCACGAGACGTCCTGAAATATTAATGTCTCACACTAGCACAATCCCTTATTAAGTTATGATGAAGCCAGGTTTCCAATTTGCAACAGAAACAAATCGAAAAGGCATTTAACCATTTTATCATGGTGCTCTCAAAAGTCAAAACCTTCCCTATCTTACTTTTTCTTAGCTTTAAGCTAAAAATTATGGTGGCTGATAATAAAATGTTAAAAATAAAAACACAAAAGCTCATAAAAAAACCAGTTTACATAAATTACCACACAATTCAAACAGGAAAAAGCTAAAAAAAAAAAAAAAATCAGCAATAAGACAGCCACAACAATATGATATTATATATGGAGTGGAACACCCTACAAAGCACCCCAATCACAAGTCGATTGTTGAAAAACAAAATGAAACAAAGAAAACTGATGCTTAAACTCCAACAAGATGACGTACACTAAACAACCATGACTACAAGCCCACTATGCTCTGGGTCAGGAAGATTGACAAAAAACAATGCCAGCAACACATCTAAAGTCTCAAGAACTGAAAACACAGATACATTCAAAAGTGCACATGAGATGCATCCAAAAATGCACTTGAGAAGTTGCCAATCTTTTCTCCTAAAGATTTTCTCAACCAATTATCTCCCAATAGATAATTCATATTCATGTACTTCATCAAAACCAGTTTATCAACTTAACAGATGCACAATACAAATTACAGACATCACTAATTCACTATTTAGTGGCAAATCAAGCAAATCCAAAGAAAAGCAAAAATGAAATCTCTACCCTGGTTGCAGAAAATTTAGAGGAAGAGACACGAATTTGAAGTTTTGACTCATAGTATCTTTTATCTATAAGATTTCCGGGGGAAAAGAATTAAAATTGAATTCAATCAAGCAGAATAGCAGTCAATTGAGGGGAGGCTCTCATTTCCTGAGTCCTAAACAATAATACAAAGAAATTGTCAATTCTTTTCATCTCTGCACACTTTCTAAGCAACCAAACAAGCATAATAAACCAAACCAAATAATAATAATAATAACCGAACCTTTGCAGTCAACTTGAAGTCCCCCTTCTTCCATAACCCACTCCTGACATACCGATCACACTCGGAAATCCGCCTCATCGTAGCCAAAATCAATCCAATGGCCAGGTCAGCAACATCCTCCGTCAACACGTCCGGCGTGTTCGTAACCCTAATCCCCTTCTCCTTACACTTTCCCAAGTCAATCTGATCCACCCCCACACCGTGATTCGCCACGATCTCCAGACTCGGCAGCGCATCAATCAACTCAGGACGGGCACCGGCCCAGGCATTACTCACAATCGCGCGAATCGAACTCGAATGCTGTTTCAAGAACTCCTCCTTCTGAGGGAAATTCCAGAATCGGAAGAGATTGAATCGCTTGTCGAGCTCTTGCTCGAAGTATGTTGACATCGGGCACATCATCAGCACTCCAATGGCTTCCATCCTTGCAGCGACCGAGGGTAGAAGATGAAGTGGGAGTGAGAATTAGGGTTAGGGTTTTCGTCGGCCTCTTCTTCAACGATTCTTGTTCAGTAAGTCTTCTCTCTCTAAATCTCGTCCTTCCTCTCATATCGCCATGGGCGGAGAGAAATAGAGACTGTAGAGAGAGAATAACAGCCTTAGGTGCCATTTTGCTTCAAATATGGGTATTTTGAAAATTTAGAACTATCAAACTAACTTAACCGTCTATTGAGCAGTGATGGTTACATTAAATTTTATTTTATTTTATTTTATTTTTCCATTGGAAACGAGAGAGAGGGGAACAGGGGTACAGTCGCTCTAAAGATGGTTATAATGATTTTACAAAATAATTTTTGTGTAGGGAAAAATTTCCTTCCAATAAGAATGAGACACATAACCATTATACGAATCTGCATTTAGGAGATCTCATAAGCCCATTCGGATCAAGCCCAAGTTACGTTGTTCTTTAACCCATTATCATTTATGTTGTGCCTCCAAAGCCAGACAAGAGTACCGATCAGCTCAACATCACCACTGTTGAAGTTTTGATCCATTAGTCAAGTCACTTACACCAAACCGCATCCGGCCCAAGTATAATTAAATATGGCGCAGTCCTATTTAATAAAGGAGTCAACCCGGAAGGAAAGTTTTTATACAAAGCAAATTCTACATAGGAATATCATACAATGGAAAGAACTCTATTTGTAAAGAAAGTCATATATGGAAAGAATTGGAGGACAAGAAACGCGAGTCCTACCATAATTTTACCAACTTTTGTGTATAAATAGAGGCCTAAACCTCCAATAAAAGGGCAAGCAATTCAATTATTATATAGACATTGTTCTTGTTTATTTTTATTGTTTGTTGAGTGTGTTGTATTATTTTCTCTCGATCGTAATTGGTTGAGCGAAATTTTGCACCTACACTTTGGCGCCGTCTGTGGGAACATGTGCAAATATATTCCCACTCTTGTTTCACAGGTGAATCCTGCAACTACCATCCAGAATGCCAAACGGAGGATCTTCAACGGATCAATAGACAGAGTTGATGCAGAAGATGCGTGAAGAGTTTCTACACCAGTTTGACAAACTTCGTCAGGCAAACGAATCAAGCGTGGCTCAGATCGCCTTGCTTCAACAGCAGAATAACACTCTGCAAACGGCGATGGCTCAGTTGGCACCACCACCACCAATGGGTGACACAGCAGCACCTTCTAATCAGAATATTCCTCCAATTACTGGGCTTCCACCTAATGGGGCACGACCCAATGAGGCTCAGCTGAATGAGGTTCAGCAACAACAGAGGGCAAGATCAGAGGTTGTGGCTTCAGACAACGTCCTTCGTCGCACGCAGGACGAGCAAGTCGAATCTAGCCATAAGCTCACGGTTAGGTCCAGTGGAATTCTAGATGGTGCAGGTGTTCAGGATGCCTTTGATAAGAAAAGACTCCTGAAGATTCAGACACCTGCTGAGATGGCTAGAGAACGCAAAAATTCCTTGGTCAAAACTCCTTTCACTGACGATGTGTATCTGGTTGAGAGGCCCAAGAAATTTACCATGCCTTCTTTCACCCAGTTTGATGGAACGGGGGATCCTTCTCGGCACCTAGATCATTACGCTTAAAAGATGGCTTTGGATGATCGTAATGACCCTTGGATGTGCAGAGTTTTTCCTACTAGCTTGACAGGAGCAGCACTAAAGTGGTTCAGGAATAGACCGCATAAGTCCATCTCGGATTATGGAACTCTGTGCACTATGTTCCTGGCACACTATTGCGGAAATAAAAAGCAAAAGAAGAGCATTGCCAACCTCTTCACCGTAAGGCAAAAGAAGGGGGAAAAATTGCAGGATTTCTTATCAAGATTCAACATAGAAGCCTCAGAAATAGCAGATTGTCATCCCGCGACTGCTTTAGAAACATTTAAACTTGCGATGATTCAGGGGACGAAGTTCTACACTTCCTTGGTCAAATATTCTCCTCCCGACATGCAGACTCTAATGCCAGGGCCCAGATCTATATTTGGCTCGAGGAAAATATAGCCCACCGAGCGCAGCACGCCACCCTCGTGACGGTGGAAAACAAGCCTCGAGAAAGAATTCCAAATTCAAAGATTCAGAAAAGCCAACGTACCTTAACGCCGATCACCCAAGCACCTGATAAGAGGCAAAGGGTAAAGGAAGGATTTACACCTCTCTGAACTACCTTGACTCGGCTCTTCCAAAAGAATAAGATGAAGTTCACAACCCCGCAGCCAATAAAGCAACCCCTGGAGCAAAGGGACAAAAGCAAGTATTGCACTTATCATCGAGATTATGGGCATTCAACCAATGATTGCAGATCCCTTAGGCTACAGGTGGAGAATATGATCGCCAGAGGTGAGTTGGCGTATTACCTCATGACAAAGGAGTATGCAAAGCCCCGCGAGGTCTATCCCCGCAAGGTGGAAGGTATGCAAGTAAAAGTCATTCATGCAACACATGGCAGGTCTGAAGATGATCAAGAGTCCGAGGGGGTACACAGATCCAGATTGAGGGCAGCCCACAAGCTCAGGAAGATATCCTCGGTCAATGCTATCGCTTCGGGTAGCATCAGTATTGGATTCGGAGATGGCGACCTATCCAGGGTTCTATTCCCCCACGAGGATCCATTGGTCATCAGTCTTTTAGTGGCCAATTATATGATCAAGAGGGTTTTGATAGATCCAGGAAGTAGAGCCAACATCATCACAAAGACGGTCTTTGTGCAGCTAGAGATCCCGTCATCATCTATTCAACCTACTTCCAGCCCGTTGATGGGATTCGATGGCACAAGAGTAGATCCCCTTGGAGTAATAGACTTGTCCGTAACTGCGGCGAAGAGGACTCTGAAGGAGAATTTTATTTTAACAGAGATCCATCCTTCTTATAATCTCATCATGGGAAGAGGCTGGATACACCGGATGAGAGGAGTTCCGTCCACCCTTCACCAGGTGATGCGGTGCTTATCTCCGGACGGAAAAGAAGTGATTAATCTATGGGGCAATCAAGTCGCTGCGAAGGAATGCTATATGTTGACACAGGCTGAAGCAAAGAAGGTGTCTATTCAGCAGCAACCAGGTGTGGCTTCCAAAAATATACCCAAATAGCAATTACAGAGCCCTCTGCCCAAGTATCTTAAGGTAGAGGAGGAAGAGGAAATTGCGAAGCCCACCGAGGAGACCCTTGAAGCCGTGGAAGTTATCATCGGCGACCCTCAAAAGGTCACTTATTTAGGCTCTTCCTCCACGTCCGAAGAAAAGGAGGCGTTAATTGATGTTATTCGGAGCAATGCAGATGCTTTTGCATGGGATCACTCGGACATGGTAGGAATCAATCCTTTAGTTTCCTGCCATAGCCTGAAGGTGGATCCGGAGTTCAAATCGATTAAGCATAAACACCGAAGGTTTGCCCCCGAACGCAATCGCATTATAGCTGAAGAAGTGAGCAAGTTGTTGTAAGCAGGTTTCATTCAAGAAGTGAAATATCCACAATGGCTATCAAACGTGGTGGTCGTACAAAAGAAGAATGGAAAGTGGAGGGTTTGTGTAGACTATACCAACCTTAACAAAGCCTGTCCTAAAGATAGCTTCCCTCTGCCCAAGATAGATCAGATGGTTGATGCTACCACCGGTTACAAGAGGCTAACATTCTTTGATGCATACTCGGGATACAATCAAATTCGTATGAACCCTAAAGATGAAGAAAAAACGATTTTCATTACAGAAAAGGGGACTTATTGTTACAGGATCATGCCATTCGGACTGAAGAACGCTGGGGCTACTTATCAACGTCTTGTCAATAAGATCTTTGACAATCTGTTGGGAAAGACAGTTGAAGCATATATAGATGACATGGTGGTCAAAAGTGTGAAGAATGAAGACCATCCGAAGCATCTCCAGAAAGTTTTCAATACCTTGAAGAAGTACAACATGAAACTGAATCCATCTAAGTGCTCATTTGCGGTATCATCAGGTCAATTCCTCGGCCATATAGTGAATAAAAGAGGGATAGAGGTAAGTCCAGAGAGGTACAAGTTCTTACTGGTCGGATCGCAGCCCTCAGCCGGTTTATATCCCAATTGTCAGAGAAGTGCAAACCATTCTTCGATATTATAAGATCTAAGAATAAAGATATATAGGGACCTCAGCAGCAGGAGGCCCTCAACCAGTTGAAAGGTTATATGGCCGAACCACTAATTCTATCCACTCCAAAACCCAGGGAGGTTCTTATTATGTATTTGGCGATTTCTAGTATTGCGACAAGTGCAGCATTGATTAGAAATGAAGGAAAGAAGTAATATCCAGTCTTCTACACAAGTAAGATAATGACAGATGCGGAGACACGATATAGCAAAACAAAGAAAATCATCTTAGCCTTGGTCTATGCCAAAAGGAAACTTCGGTATTATTTTGAATCTCACAGCATTGTGGTACTCACCAACTATCCTATACGGGGTATACTCTCTAAGCCCGATCTATCTGGGAGAATTACCAAATGGGCCATCGAGCTCATTTACTTTGACATAACTTATGAACCGAAGGTGTCGCATAAGAGACAAGCCGTATCAGACTTTCTTCTCAAATATGAAGACACTCCCGAAGAGTCGGAACCCCCTGAACCACAGTGGGAGCTTCAGGTCGATGGTTCCTCGAATCAAACAAGTGCAGGGGTAGGGGTTGTTATGTTGTAATACCCCGATATTTTAAAGGAATTATTATTTAAAATTAATTACTTTTATTTTATTTTAAATGATTTATTTGATTTAATTTGGATTAATTGTGTTTATTTTTTTTTATTATTATTATTTGGATTTGTTTTATTGAGTGCTTGGATTAATTGTTTTATTTACTTATATTTTGTGAATTATTGGTATGATGATTGATTGTTTGTGTAGTTAATTATTGTTTGAATTGTTAGCGTGTTGATACGATGTGACTTAGTTGTACATTCTTGTTTGTTTATATGCTTCATGTAATTAGTTATTTTAATTTAAGTGTTTATTTAATTATTTTATTTATTTAAATTAATTAGATTGGGCTTAAGGAAAGTTGGACCAAATGATATGGTCTTGGACTTGGATGAAGCCTAGTTAGGTTAATTAATAAAGGCCATGGTTATATGATTATTTAAAATGATCATTTTTATATATAATTAATATATATTTATAATTATACAAAAATGATCATTTATATATATAATTAATATATATTTATAATTATACAAAAATGATCATTTTAAATAATCATATAACCATGGCCTTTATTAATTAACCTAACTAGGCTTCATCCAAGTCCAAGACCATATCCTTTGGTCCAACTTTCCTTAAGCCCAATCTAATTAATTTAAATAAATTAAATAATTAAATAAACACTTAAATTAAAATAACTAATTACATGAAGTATATAAACAAACAAGAATGTACAACTAAGTCACATCATATCAACACGCTAACAATTCAAACAATAATTAAGTGCACAAACAATCAATCATCATACCAATAATTCACAAAATATAAGTAAATAAAACAATTAATCCAAGCACTCAATAAAACAAATCCAAATAATAAAAAATAAAATAAACACAATTAATACAAATTAAATCAAATAAATCATTTAAAATAAAATAAAAGTAATTAATTTTAATTAATAATTCTTTTAAAATATCGGGGTATTACATTCTTTCCCCTTAACAAAAGGAATTCCGTCCTTGGAATTCACGAATCCATGACATGAAACTCTGGTTATTTAATCCAAATTTTCATTCTGCCTTTATCCGTGTGGAATTAACCCATCCACACATACTCATATCTCAGAATTTATTAAGACGATGTTAAGCTAATCTATACAATTTGCATTTATTTGCAACCTAACATCACCAACTGACATGCGTTAGAATTATCCCTATTACTGTATTTTCTTGCAGTAAAACAAATAAAAACTCCTTTACACACATGGTGCAAAATACATATTTATATCATTACCAACAATAGGCAATTTCCTAATCAAACAAAATATGAATAACCCATATCATGAGGTAATAACCTCCTCTTTATTGCTAAACCACATCAGACCATTCACAAAAAAATGCCTTAGATACTAACCCGCTTCCCATTTTCGAACTCTATTAGACGAGTTTATGATAACCGAACTAGTTCGCCTATTCTGGCAGCGCACAACATATATATAGGATTTATGATTTAATTAACCGATGATTAATTATGTAAGATATATATGTATATGTAATATAATATATATATAATATATATATTTATATATATTATATTATTTAAAAAGTATTATTTTATTTGATAATCCTACTAGGAATAGGATTTATGTTTTAATGTGTATAAATATATACATAAGGTTTAGGGTTAAAAAGTTTACACGTTAGAAAAATAAGAAAGACAGAGAGAGAAGAAGAAGAGAAAGTTAACAAGGAGGAAGCCGGATTAAAGAAAGAAGACGCTGGAATTGAAAGAGACAATCCAAGATTGAAACGTCGGTTTCGTTTTGAAGCCTTCAGGCAAGTTCTTTTCTAACTTTGCTCTTAGGACCCATAAGTTTATCACCTTGAGTATCAATGTTTAAAATTAATTTATTTGTCTAAAAAAAATCATGATTAGATCAGAATGAATAAAAGCATAAATTGTTATCGTTGATTTTTGGATTATTGGATTTTATTTAATATACATATGTGTTGCATATATTTTATTAATCAATTTATTGGGTGATCTATGACCCAATAGGGTTAATTAGGGTTCCCAGAGTTTCTGTAGTTTTTTGGGAATTTTCTGGTATTTTTATATATTTTTTAGGAATTTATTAAAATTTATTTTCCTATATTTGTTAAAAAAATTTATATATATATATATATATATATATATATATATACTGTATACATACTGGGAGTATATCGGCGCATCAATAATGATGCAATCCAGCGCGGCGTGATGCATGGTGTTACTGTGCACGCGGGTTATGAACGGCTGAGATGGTTTGATGATGAGGCGGCAGCTCTGGTGT